GCGGCGGAGTACGCCCAGTGGTGGACGTCGAAGGCCCGGCAGCGCCCGTCCCAGCTCGAGGCGATCACGGAGTACTGGGACGCGTCCTCCCGGCGCTTGGCCATGCAAATGCGCCTTCGCCGGACGTTTGAGGAGGTCACGGCGGAGATCATGAAGGACCAGGCGGCGTTCCTGGATGTCCTCTCCCGCCCTCGGCCCCCGGCGAGGAACAAGGTCAGCGAGGGCTCCAACCCGCCGGACCCGGAGACGGACGGCCCGCCAGGCGCCGCGGCGTACCAGGGTTACCAGCCCGGGCCCACGCCGAAGAAGGTGAAGAAGAACGGGCGGCGCCGCAACAACCCCCGCCAGGCGCAACAGCAGCACCAGCACCGCGGCGACGAGGGGGGCTCGGACAGCCGCGGTGGCGGCGGCGGTGGCTGGCGGCAGAACTGGCGCCCTCGCGGCGATTCCAACCAGCAGTCTGGCCGCCAGGACTGGCATGACGATCGGCGGTGGGCCAATGCCGACCGGGCCCAGTCGTGGCAGGACCGCGGCGGGAAGAGAGACTCCCAGGCGCAGGATGGCGACCGCCCGCAGAAGCACAGGCGCTAGGGACAGCACGGGGCCCCGCCCGGCGCTTCGGCCTCGGGTGGGGTACCCGACCGGAGCCAGGCGGCACAGGCGGTGGTGCTGAAGCCGGCTCGACCGGCGCGCCGGGATGGCAAGTACATCCTGCTCTCCCTCTTTGACGGCGTCGGGGCGGCGCCTGCCATCCTCGAGGACCTCTTCGGCACGCCGTGGGCGGCCATGGCGTGGGAGACAGACAAGACTTGCCGGCGACTGACATCCGCCCGGCTGCCCTGGCTCCGGCAGAGGGGTGACTTCACCGCGGACTCGGTGGAGAAGGTGGCGGCGGAAGTCAAGCGCCTTGACCCGTCCGGCGAGTGCGTGATCCTCCTCGTCGCGGCGCCCCCCTGCCAAGATTTCTCCCAGATCGGCGCGGAGGCGGGCCACAGTGGCGCCCGCGGCAGCCTGTTCTTGCGCTCGGCGGAGTTCGTCTTGGAGCTGAGGGCGGCGCTCCGCGGCTGGCGGGTTGGCTTCATGTTCGAGAACGTCGTCATGCAGCCGGCGTCGGCCAAGGAGGTGTCCGACTGCCTTGGGGTGGAACCGGCGCTGGTCTGTGCCTCCGATTTCGGGTGGATCTCGAGGCCGAGGCTCTGGTGGCTCTCGGCGGACCTCCGGCAGCACACGGAGGACCCGGCCACCGGCGCACCCCTGGTCTGGACTAAGAAGGGGCCGTTCCACCGTCTCCGGCTGGAGGAAGCCAGGGCGGCGGCCAGCACTCTGCTACCGGAGGGCATGGCCCTTCACCCGGCGGTGGCGTCGAGCAGGTTGCTCCTGCCATGCGCCACCACGCCGGCGGAGGACGAGAACGGCCGCCCGGCGCCGAAGAGAGCTCGGGGCAAGATCCCGGAGCCGGCGAGAGCCAGGTGGCTGGCGGACTCCAGGCAGTTCGCCCCCTGGCATTACACAGAGGAGGCGATGATCCACGACGAGGCCGGCCGGCTCCACAACATCCCCGTCGGCGTCAAGGAGGCTCTCCACCACATACCGGCGGGGTACACGGACCTCGGCGACGGAGATGACAGGACCCGGCATCGGATGGTGGCCAACGGCTGGCATTGGGGAGTGGCCCGGCGCCTCTTGGCAATGCTCATGGCCTTTACGGTGGCACAGCCGGCGGAGGCATCGGTGCCGGCAGCACCGAGGACAACCACGGTGGCGTGGATGGCCTCACAGTTCGGCGCTGGCCCCCTGGACATGAGCCCCCCGCCTCGCCTGGCGTCGCGGCTGGACTTGCCGGATGACGATCCCGACGAGCACTGGCGGCTGGCACTCCAACTGAGCCACTGCACGGTCACCCGGCGGCCGGACCTGGAGCCGGCGGTGGAACGTGTCTTGGTGCTCGCGGCTGCCTGGCGCCACGACGTGGTGAGGATCCGCGGCGAGGTGCTGCAGGAGATCAGAGACATGGTGGCGGACCGCGTGGAGGAGACGGCGGCCTGGCTGGCCCAGCGCCCGGCCCCGGTGCGCAGCACCTACTCCACGGCGGACAAGGACCGGCCCACGCAGATCCCGGTCCTCTTGGAGCTCCTCGGCGTGGTGGGCTACCCCGACATCGAGGGCCTCACGGCGGACCTCACCCAGGGCTTCGACATGCTCGGCGAGGTGCGGCGTGGCCCCGGCTGGAAGGAGCGGACGGACGGCCGTTACCAGAACCCGGTGTCCCTGGACCAGCTGGCGGCGACCAACTGGGAATACGTCCGGAAGCGCGCCTCGGCGGCGCAGCCCGGCAAGCACTGGGAGACCCTCCTCACGGAACTTGTGTCGGAGGCCCGGCTTGGCAGGGTGGTTGGTCCGGCGGCGCCGCCGGCTGGATGGAACATTGCCACCGTGCCGGTGCTGAACACGCCCGGCGCCGATCGGCTGGTGCCGCCGCCCCCCGGCCGCCACTTTGCCGCGGCGTCCTTCGCCATAGTGCAGGAGGACGGCGAGGGGAACACGAAAGTGCGTCGAGGGGAGGACTGGCGGCGTTCGGGCCACAACTCCACGGTCCTGGCGCGGGACATCCCCACCCACCATTTCGTGGATGACGTGGTGGACTTCATCCGGCGCGTGGTGGAACTGGCAGGGAATCGTGGGGTCCCGGCGGCCAGGCTGTTCGGGCACGACCTGCTCAATGCCTACCGGCAGTGGGCAGTCCGGCACCCGGCCCACTCTGGCACTTTCCTGGCGACGCCGGCTGGGCTGACACTCTGGTTTCACCTGGCCATGTGCTTTGGGGCCGCGGCGTCGGTTTGGAATTTTAACAGGGCCGCGGACGCGATGCAGGCGCTGACCCGCGTCCTGCTTTGGCTGGTCGGCGGCCATTTCGTGGACGACTTTAACGGCGTCGACCTCCCGGAGCTCGCGGAGTCGGCCTTCCACTCCCTGGCGGACCTCTTCCTGGAACTCGGCCTGCAGACCAAGCCGTCGAAGGCCCAGGAGCCGGCGGCCCGGCACGTGGTCCAAGGAGTGGAAATGACGATCGAGGCGGACGGCGTGTCCCTGCGACCCACCCCCTCAAGGGTGGCCAAGCTCCTCCGGGCCATCGAGGCGGCGCTGGAGACGAATGCCCTTCAGCCTCACGCGGCGCAGAAGCTGGCGGGCAAGCTGAGCTTCGCGTCCCAGTCCACCTTCGGCTGCCTCGGCAAGGCGGCGTTGAAGCCGCTTTACGCCAGAGCCCACGACGCGGCGGCGGAGTCATCACCAGAGCTGTCGGTGGGGCTGGCGGCGGCCCTCCGGGCGCTTCGGCAGCTACTCAAGAACATCCGGCCCCGGTTCGTGCCGTTCGTCGACGACGGCGCCCCGCAGGCCCTGGTGTACGCGGACGCGTTCTTCCAGCCGGGCGAGGTCAAGCACAAGGCGGGCTTCTTGCCGGCGGACCTGCCCACACCAAAGGGGGCACGCGGCAAGAACGGCTGGGGATATGTGGTCAGAGTCGGCGGCGAGACCTACTATGACTACGGCCAGGCGCCATCCTCCTTCCTGGTGGCGTTCGGCTCCAGGCGAGCCTTCATCTACGTGCTCGAGATCGTCGCCCAGGTCCTGGCGTTGACAACGCTGGCACGGCGGTTACCGGAACGCTGGCTGGCGTTCATTGACAACGTCGCCGGCCAGTGGGCCCTCACCAAGGGCTACGGGAGGGACCCCGCGGTCAACGGCGTCCTGGCGGCGTTCTGGTCCCAGGCAGCGGACATGGACTGGCTGCCTGACTTCCGGCGGGTACCTTCGAAGGCCAATGTGGCTGATGCGGTGTCCCGCGGCGACCTAGCCACGGCAGAGGCGATGGGCTGGACCAGAGTACACACACCGGCGGCCAGAATCTGCGCCATCCTGGCCAAGACTGCTGGCGACCTCGAGTTCGCCATCCACGGTGCATCGGCGGAGCTGAGAGCTTGCGCTATTTGATTTTTCCGGTAGTTCGGCTGTGCCGGCGCTGTGTGGGGGTGGGGAGCGCCGGGCGGGTAGCTCAAAGCTTCCCCGGCGCCGGCCAGCCTAGTTTTGGGCGGAGGCGACGGACCCGGCGCGATGCGCTTTCTTCCCATACAAAAGAAGGGTATCCGTCGTCTCGTGCTAGCCTTTTCGGCGTTGCCCTAAACGTCGATAGCATATGTCGTGTAGCACACGTGTGTGCGCATGGACATGAGCGATTCGTCGTGCCGGCAGCTGTCCCGGCTCGACATCGCTTTTTCGGCCCACCCTCTACCACCCTCGTGTTGGGGAGTGGGGAGGAGGCCTCCCCATTATCGGCGAAGCCGTTTGCTAAAAGACTTCAGGGTCGTCCCCCGCCCACGGGCGGCGCGTCGGGTAGCTCAAAGCTTCCCCGGCGCCGGCCAGCCTAGTTTTGGGCGGAGGCGACGGACCCGGCGCGATGCGCTTTCTTCCCATACAAAAGAAGGGTATCCGTCGTCTCGTGCTAGCCTTTTCGGCGTTGCCCTAAACGTCGATAGCATATGTCGCAATCAGCAAGGTTCAGGCCACAAGTACAGTTCTGCCTTCCCGTTTGAGACCCTCGAAGAAGCCTTTGAAGACCTTTTGCAGGCTGCAGAGACCTCTCGCCTTCTAAATACGAAAGGCCAGCGCGCCGTGCAGTGCTCAGAGCCCTTGGGAGAAATCTTGTGCAGTGGCAGTCAAATTTGCCTGACATGAGGCTGTGGGCTTCAAGTTGAATTCGAGCGTCCTCTGAGCTGTCGGTTCACTGCAACCGGCAGACAATTGCTCCCGTCCAGCATGACGCAGGTAACAAGAGTTATGGGCTCCCGTTGGTAATCCAGGATCCACAGATGCAGTCCTGACGACAAAGCCGTAGTAAAAGGCTCAGTGCCGAGCAGACACTCGGATGACGATGAAAGCATTGATTGTGGTAGGAGTTTGAGAACCCAAAAAGGCTTGATTGCCGCATGCACCAGCTCAGCTGCATGGTGATCATCCTCGTAATGCCACAAAGTTCTGGATGCCTACCACCGAGCTCCGTCCACGCAGACCCTTTAAAAGGGACGGGGTCGGGCATCTCCTGCGCAACGCGCGCATCGCCTCCGCATCTCGTCAGCATCTTGTCCCAACTGCCAGTCTTCAGCTTTTCCTTCTGTCACCACTGCACTTTGTGAACCCTTCCGGACGACCTCCGGTAGTGTGGACTCCAAGTGAAGTTTGATATCATGGGACAGTTGCTGTGGTCAGTGGGTTCGTTGGTATGACGGGTGCTACCGTCATCAGGCTTAGCGACCTTCACGATTTGGTGCTGTGGTCGTTCCAAGTGTTCGGTGGATGGCGGTGGCGATGTCAATGACGCATGATAATGATGATGACGACCCCATGGTAATAGTGGTGATTGTGGTGCTCTGTGATGGGGGCCTGGTGTGTACAGGCGAGAAGGAAGAGTAGGTAGTGACATGCATGCAGGGGTTCAAGATGCAGGGCCTTCAGCGGTAGAGGCAGATCTTTTGCTTCGCAGGTGGTTGAGTCCCGGCATGTCCCAAAAGGTCGGAGCCTTTGCAAATGAGCTGAGTTTGGTAAAGGGTACAGAAACGTCACGCTTGTGTGGCTTTGCAAGGGATGCATCCCATCGATGGGTATAGCAGAGGCTGTTGTACACTTTGGATTCCCTTTGCTGTGAAGCTTTTTGCAATAAGCTGCTCACATTTCATGACAAGCGCACGCAGATGATTCAACTGGGACTCGCATCTATGATGATTAGCCAGACACGACCTGCACAGGTCACCTGCCGACCTCTGAAGGGTGACACCTTCACGGTGGAGGTGTCAGATGAGGTGCATGAAACTGACTTACGTTAGTTACTGTGCGGCTCGGGTTGCTTCCTTGTTTTGCGAAGTCCTGCCAATGGATCTTGGCAAGCGTTAGTTGTTGGTGAATCTCTTGGTAGCCCCGAAAGGCGAAGAGCTTAGTCGAGGCTCATGACTGGCATCTCAATTGGGAAGACTGGCGCAGTGTGAAGGCGACGGTGGCTGACCTGAAGAAGTCAATCTGCGAGAAGTTCCCAGAGCTCGTCCCTCAGGAGTGGAGACCAGCAGTCGCAGTGAGGCCGCCTGGCACCCTCCGACCCTCTGGGTGAGTTGAAGAGAGGATCCCCGTGAAGCAAACCGATCCTGCAGGGCGAGGAGTCATCACAAAGGTACATGTTTGTGCCGTCAATGAGCTTCAATCCAGTGGATTTCCGCTCAATGTCATAGTTTGCGAGTACTGCCGTGAGATGGGGCGCGGGCTTCTAGCGGAGTTTCTAGCCACATGTCCAAGGATGCTGGCGGAGCAACAAAAGCTTATTCACCAGGGCAAGATTTTGGTCGACGAGACACACGTGAAGGAGAGTGCATGTGGGATTTCAAGTAGTGGTATAAGTCTCTGCGGAGCCTTGAGAGTTTGACAAGTGCAGCATGGGAGTCAAGATGAAGTTCGGCTTTTCGCTTGAAATGAACGCTTAGTCCTTCGACGCGGATGCGGCCAATAAGAGACAGGACATTGGCATTAAGGAGGGAGAGTTCGTGGTGGTCATGGTGGCCAAGGCTGCGGCTGGGCAGGAAAGTTCTTGAAATAAGTAATGTGAACCCCAGGAGGATGATCAAAATGCATACAAAAAACGGGGTTCCTCTTGGCTGCGTGCTGGCATTCTTGGGCGACGGGTTTCCACATGCCCCACTAGCATATCTTTCAAAAAGCTGCTGAGTTGTGTTCATACGTGGCAACGGCCCTAAAGCCCCAGCCTCGACAGTCAGGCACAAGGTCTTCGCGTTGCGTCTCAACCCAAGATCTGAACGCGCAGGCGAAGCCTCCCCCCGCACCGGCTCCGGCTCCTGCAGCGCCTGCACCAACGCCAGCGCCGGCGAGCAAACGGGCTGAGAGAATCTGCGCGGTACACGCATGAGGAATTACAGTGTCGATTTTCCAGACTTTGGAGTTCACTACTCTCGGTTGAGTTTAATGGCACGTGTTGATTCCTCTGTTGTAACGGTCATGCTCATAATTGTCGCCATGCCAAAGCCAGTTGAGGGCTCTTGCAGTTGCAACTGCTGGTGGTGCTGGAGCACGTCCTCCATCATTCGCACTGTGCAGAGCCCAGTATTTTGCAGAAGCTCAGGTGCCCCAGCTGCGCCAGCAGCAGTGGATGCTGGAGCCGTTGCGACCTCAAATCTTTGATGTTGAGGGCCAAGGCCAGAGCACCAGATTGCCGGAACACAGGCTCTGCAATTCTGGCTAACCTGTGCAACATGCTACCTCCACAAACGCTTCCAAAGGCTGCGAGTGCACTTGGCAAGCGCATCTTGCGGACTTACCATTCACGTCTGCGGGCCTGTTAAACATGGTCGCCGCTCCCCAATCACAGAAACGGGCTGAAATTCAAGGCAGGCGCGAGTTTCACCAGTCCAAGTTTCCCACCTCCTAAACCCCAAGCACCGAGGCAGCAGCTGCGACAGTTGTTGGCGGCACAGCAGCGGAGTCGTGGGAGCCCCAGCATCACAAGGACGTGCGAACGCACACAGCAGGAAAACACAATGTCACAGTGCAGTACGACATGCGGCAAAAGGCAGCAAATGCAAGCTAAACGAGAGGACTGAACGAGAGTACAACGTAGCACACTGTAGCAAGCTCTGATGTGGCCCGGTCCAGCAGTTCCCACGGCTCCCGAGCAAAGACGTGCATCTAGAATGTAGGCAACCTTTGCCAGAAGCAACCACAGTACTCAGGTACCCGGCGGCCCCTTCACGAATCAGCATGTATACTCTTTTGACACTGTACACTTTTTGGATTCGTCGGCACAGATGCATTGCATAGCGGTTGATTGTGGGTACCTGGTCAGATTCTCGCCGCATAGAATGCGGTCACACGCGTTCGGTGAGAAATGGAAGTGGGATGTCGACTTGTGGTGTCATCGCCCCTATTTTCTGTTAGCTTTCTCGAGGGTGCACACGACTCCACCTGGCTAGGACCGTCCAGCAGCTGATGGAGATGGGGTTCGACAGACCGCAGGTTGAGCGATGTTTGCAGGCGAAAGCCGGTCTCCTGGGTTTCCTCGATAATTATTCGCTGAATGCGCTGCGTGTCAGAACATCTGTGGCTTGCTTGAGTTGCCAGGCCCTCTTGAACTTTCCTTGCTCTGGTACAGCTTTCCGCGCAGGCTGCTTTCGGAAATCCTGACCGAGCTGTTGAGTATTTGATGTGGGCGGCCCAGCTATGACTGTCTCAGAGCAGGGAGGCGATTCACAGGTTTCGGTTTCGCGCTGCTGTTCGGTCAGAGAGCTCCCTTTGCCGCAACAGGAGTGGAATTCCTGCTGGGGTTGGCATGGCAGTCTTGTCCTCGGTTGCTTCCGTACCCTGACATCTCTGCGAATCTAAAGCGTCTGGAAGTTACCTATACACGAATGCAGGTCCAAGTGTGTTCATTGTTCCAATCTTGGCATGCAAGCATGCGAGTATCAGCATATACATGTCTATATATGTATATGTTTGTTTACACAACATAGTATGTGTGTGTGTGTGTGTTTTGTTCTATGCCATATATCAAATATCACATATCATATATGTGTATATATATACACATACATACATACATACATACATACATACACACACATGAAACTCACACACACACACACACACACGCACGCACACTTGCGCAATACAGCCAATATGATAGGACAAAGGGGTAGTATAAGATATTCTACTATGGAATCATTTCATGTACTATATCAAAGTGTAGTATGTTCTGGTAGAATGTAATACATTATAGTATGCTCGGCTGATCGAGCGCCGAGACCGGTACGTTTGTAATCTTCATTGAACCGTTGGTAGTGAACGTGCGTAACTTGTTTCAACGGAACGACAAGAAGTGAGTGTTGTACTAGTTCAAGCACAACAGGCGTGAACGATCCACAACTAACACCCCATCTTCAATGTACTGAACCAGAGGAATGACACGAAGTGAAGCGTATATGTGGATTTACAACAACGAAGAATAAGGGGCATTAGTTGAACAGATGATGACCTAATCTTTCGTGAAATAGTTCTATCAACGAATGGCATGAACTAAAACAGAAAGGACGGGAATTGAACAGAAGAGAACAACACAATGAAAACAGGGCATGCTGTTTCTTCACTGCATACTATTGTTCCATTAGTGCTTCTGTTTTTTCCATGTATACTTTTTGGTCTAGAGATTCATAATGTGGCCTTTGTTATTGTTCAGCAAAAGGAAGCATAATGAAAGCTGGATTTTTCATCGAGCAATATTGGGCCATACATGAAAACCAGCAAATACAGAAAATGTAGGCGTGCATTGTTTACCCTCCATTTCGTTCCATTGCTGTGGCATTTTTCATTGTATGTTCAAGTGAGGGAGAAACTACCGCATGTGTAGTCTCCAATGGAACGAACAGGCAGGCGTACCTCGCTTTATTTCGTCGGTTCAAGCACGAGATCGAACACTACATTACACTTAGTTCATCATCTTGGTCTTTCAGACTCTCCTCCTTGTACGTACCAAAACATCAAGTTAATGTAAAGTTATGGGATGAAACAAGCGAAAGGATAGGAGAAGCGTGCGTGTACATCTGTGTCATGACATGCATTGAAGCTCTTTTGGGGTTCCTGTGACATTTTGTTGAATCGAACGAATGAAGCATGCATTCACTGACTTTGTGCTTCCCTTTATCTTCACTCGATTAAGTATGTCAAAAGAAATAGGAACAAAGGACGCAGACATGTGATAGAATATTAACTTCTGATTCCAGTTCATCTCCTACCATGGAAAATTCGGCGCTTCCAAGATAGCTTGCTACTGACTGGGCGGTAGTGTTAAGTGACCCACAGGATACAACCGCCATGTGATGAAGGGAGAAAGCACCAAGTTCGTTCATATTTTGGTTCGTTTAAGACCAGCGACATTTTTGGTGTTGGATCTTGGATATGGGACTTGATCCGGGTACCGGCACAAACGTACAAGTTGTACTGGGAAGATCCAAAATTCCAAGATCCAAGATTGCGGAGTCTTTTCTAGGAATATTGGATGCCGGAGCCCGGTCCGGTACAAACCGCTACAATACCGGACCGAGCTCCGTTCTCCAAGAGTCCAAAAAAGACCCTGCAGCAATCTTGGATTTGGGAATCCTGGATCCCGCCGGTACGACTTGTACCGGTTGTGTACCGGGGCCAAGGCCTGTACCCAGGATCTTCAGTCCTCGAGGTGGGGTTCACCCAGCCACGAACTGGTAGATCAGCAGCCCCTCCCCCTCGAGGATCTCCTGTTTTCCTGTGGTGGGTATTAAATAGATAAATACATATATATATATATATATATATATATATATATATATATATATGTACATATATGTATATATATATATATACATATATATATATATATGCACAATGTTTTAAACATATACAACTCCGCGCCTCCTGTGTTCAAAGAGGTCTGAGAGACGCTAGCTCGCCATTGAATGGCCATGGTGATCCAAGGCTCCCGAGGCGGAGGGCGGCGAGCCAGCGCCGACCACGCCCGGAGGTGCGGAGGATCAGTGTTTTCACGCTCGCGGTTTGCGCGTGTCTTCTGGGCTCTGTGCAACTGCAATACTTCGGCCCAGACCAGAGCATCCAAACTGACGTGAAGCGGTCGCGTGTAGTGCGGGTTTTTCCTTTGGTTGGGGTCCTTGTAGTGAGATATGGACGCACCAGGGAGGCACTGCAAGTGCTCGCCAGGCGAGGCTCCAGCCACGGCCGGCGGGCCAGCCATGACAGGCGCCTTTCCGGCCATGCCGCCACCTGGAGCCGGTCGTGGAGGAGGTGGGGCAGGAAGCGATTCGGAGTGGGAGTTCGGAGATTCTGCCTCACCAGGTGGAGGCGGAGGCGGAGGAAATTTGGCAGCCTTGGAGGAGCTGAGAAATCACCCGCGTCGCGGGCTCAGTCTGTTGCCATCTGTTGTCCGTACGGGCACTGGTGCTGCTATCTTCCAGACTCTAGGCCTTCCTGAATTGGCGCAAGCAGTGGCGGCTGATCCGAACGTCAAGAGCCCAGCTCAAACGCAAGGAGCTTGCAGTTCAGCGGCCTCGGGCGTCTTGTCAGTCCTTGAAAATCCTTGTTGGAAGGTGCTCCCGCAGATCATAATGGCGCTTCAGCAGAGCAGCCAAGACCTCAACTGCAAAGGGCGACAGGCTGGGAGACCTGTATTTGCCCAAGATGTACAGAAAGGGGGGAGCCAAAGGGTCGAGCCAAAGCTACGCCCACAGAGAAACGAGAAGCGCGGTGCTCCTTGTTGGCTGAGATCCGGCTTTGGTGCAGACCATTCGGGAGAATCCGCAAGAGTTCATGCGACTTCTGCAGGCCGCAATGCACCGATTCAGGTGAGTTGCCATGCACAGGTCGAAGGCAGCATGGATCCATGCGTACTAGACTAGTAGACAACCCAGCATCTCCCAAGAATCCAGTACTCGAAGCACCTCGTTTTGGACCCCTCGCCTCATGGCCTTGCGACCGCAAGAGCATCGGCAGAGTCTAAGCAGATCTTATGTTGCTAGGACAGGAATATGGAGCAGCTTCGTCAATCTTCTAGTCCGTACTCTGATTTTGATGTCACGTTTTCGAGTGTGTTTTCTCGCAGTTCATGCACTGACATTGCCTTCACATGTAGGATTCTGGTGGGGCTCCTATAGAATTGTAGTCGCAGGAATGCGCGATTCAATAAGATGTTGTTTGCAATCTACTACCAGCGTACCAGCATGTCGGTAGAATGTCAATTGCATTTCCAGCCCCGTAGTCACAGTTGCAGCAGTTGTAGCATGGCTTTTCTGTACTGAGATACCAGTCTGGCTTGCACCATGACGAATTTTCGATGGGAGAGCATCACAATCTGGCCGGGGTATTCTACAGTGACGTCTCATGGAGATGTTATAGCGCGTTTTCAAGATCGGCTGCAGCATCCCAGGAAAATCTTGTTTAGAATATTCCCATGGGAATTGACACGAGCCGTTCTTACTTGTCACACCAGCTTTCCCGAAGCATGCACCGCCCCAAGAACAGGGAACTCAGCAGTGGCCGCCATTCTGGCCCATTTGGAACTCTTGAACTTGTCCAAGCTTTCCACTTTGCAGCACCCCACCGCAGGGTCTGACCCATGACCCCCTACATGTTTTGTACGCAGGGCGGCGCGGCCCCGCCGGCGGGAGGTGAGCAAGATCCCGTCGCGGCCATGCTTGCAGCAGCACAGGCCAGAGGCTCACGCTTGTAACGGAGGAAGAATAGTTTGGATAGAACTTGAGAACTTCGGGGTTCTAATTGAACAATCATTGTGAACGCACGTCGGCGAGAAGCCTGTGGGCGAGGACTGTGCGCCCGAGAGCTTCAAAGAGAGAGAAAGGGTCGCATTCATGCCATCCCTGAAACTTCAGCACGAAAAGACACAACAGAACGAGAAGGCTTAGAACTCGATGTTATCATTTATCGCTTGCATTGCATCTTGCCTCAAGTTTCAAATTCGATTCATGAGAATCCAACACCGGAGCTGTTCCCCAGCCCAGGGTGGCGGAGGGGGTGGGGCTCCGGGCGCCGGCCAGCAGGCGCCAGTGATTTGAGGGAGATGCACTGGGACAGCAGCACGTTTGCAGGCGCTGGAAGAGAATGCTGGCGGAGGGATTGCCTTGAGTGCCTAGAGAGACATATCTTGGCTGGACACTGCGTTTGCCCACCGACCGTGGCTGCGCATTGAAGGTGTAGTGCCATTCAGACTTCGCTGTTTCAAGGTGGTGCGACTGACTCCGGAAGAGGGCGAAGCAGTTCGAAGGCCGAGATGTTGGGCCTTTTTTTCAGCTATCCTTCGACGTTTCTTTCTTAAGTCAAGTGCAGCGTCCCTTTCAGGTCAGTCTTCTTCGGATGCGCGCAAGAACTTCTCAACTCCAACTCCACGTAGAAACTCGTGTTAAAGCTTGCTGATGCAGGTTGACAGAGCTTGGCTTCGACAGAGGGATGGCAGTGCAGGCATACCTTGCCTGCACCCTAGCTGGTGCGAAGCAGGTTTTTCTTGCCTTCTGGGATCGGTATTGAGCTCAGAGGCCTTCAGAGGCCGCCGGAGTGTCAGCGGAGTCTGTTTGCAACGCTTTTGCTAAGGCATGCGACAAAAACGAGGACGCTCCCCCAGATGCCGGCAGTTGAATTGCGAATTTGGGTCCTGCTTGCCCAGACGAGTGCTTAGCCGCTGGATGGTTCACCTGTCTCCCTTTAGTAAGCTTTCATTTTAATTGATCATTCGTCAGAAAGCCCATGCTCTTACACTGCAGGAGCTCGCCGCCAACTTTTTGTTTGAGAACCAAATGATGGAAGACTGAGTGAAGCTACCAGATCTTCCGTGATGCAATTCGATACGGTCGAACCGCAGAGTTGGGTGAAGACCGAAGTGTTTGGCAATACCTGATGTCTGATGAGTGAGGCCGTGCAAAGTGCGACACAGGCAGATCAAAGGGGTCATCGAAGGAAACAAAGTCGTGTTAGTCAATCCGGCCAGTGCTTCTTAGTCGATACTCCTGACACTGTCAGGATTCCCGCCCTCAAGAGTTGTTCGCAAATGGTAAGAGGAGTGCAAGCTCCAGACTTCCGTGCCGAGTCTTTACATCGGACCTTCCCATAAATGGTAGAGACTATCGTGCCCTCAACGAGGCTAACGCACACAATAGTCTGAAGTTTCGACGATTTTCTATTCATGCAGGGATTTACCAAATGAGCACCACTGCTAGCTGCGTTGCAAGTTCAGCTGTAGTGACCTCGCGCACTGTAAGCGAGCAAGCTGTATAGGACTTGTTCCCGCTTGGCTGAGAGCTTCACTACGACCCCAGAACTCGTTAACTAGTCACTTAGAGTCACTTCGAGTGGCAACAGCTCCTTCGGACTTCGGAGCATCGGCCCGAAAACATTTGCCTTTGCAAGCGGGTTTTGCACTTCCGGAACCCGTGTGCGGTAGATAGGATGTCGCAGTTCCTTTGTGGGCAAACCTCTGGCTAAGACGAACGCGTCCGGGAATCGGCTCACAATGGGAACTGCCGCTGCGAACGATCTGCGGCACAGGCACATCGCTCGCAGGGGAAGATAGAAAAAGACATGGCTTGCATCAACACCCCCAAAGCTTATGCCTTTCTCTTTCTCTCTTTCTCCCCCTCGGTCTCTTCACCTGTGGAAGCAGAGAGAAACAGAGAGGGCTACCCAGACGCCAGCCGCCAAAGTTCATGCATTTTCCTCGGATTTTTGATCCACGAGCCAGTCCTGAACCAGCCAAGCTCTAGAATGACTTCTGACCCGAGGCCCGAAGCTGGCGCGCCATGTCCTGGTTGGGCGTCTGCTGCGCGTTTGGAGTGGATTTGTCGACGAGCGGGGTATCAGGAGGTTGCCCTAGCTCAGGCTGAGCAGAAGCTAAGCTTTCAGTTGTAGCGAAGGGGGGCAGGGGCGGAAAGGTCGGACGGCACGTTCACTTGCAGCGGGCATGAACTTAGCCACGCCTGTCCCGATTTGAAGGAGTGCCTGCGTAGGGGGATGGTGGGATGACGCTACAGTGAGCTTGCATTGCTGAATCCGCAGCTCACGGGAGTGGATCAAATCTAGAGAAGTGATCGACTTCTCCCAGAACCCCACTCTGGCAGCGCGCTGAGGTTACACAGGGGAACAGGAGGGACCTAGATAACAGGGGACCCCGGGTGGTTGGAGGAGCTGTCGTGAGCAAGTTGTCCTGTGTACCATGTTTGCTTGGCAGCCTTGGCACACTGAGGCCTGGGCAATCCGCCGAAGAGGTGGTTTTAAGCGAACAGGCCACACATGGCACTTGCAAGAAACCTGAAGACAGCACAGCTGCGCGGTCCGGCTTTGTGTCCTGCTAGGGTTATGTCTGAGCAGTGGCACCATGCGTTAAGAGAGTCAAGACGAGACACTGCCTGCAAGGGCACAGAAGATATCTGTGCAGAGCTCGGGCGCTGGTCGCAGGATTGCCTAGTCTGCTTGTGCCCTCACGCTGCCCAGCCTCAGGTGAACAGCGACCTCAGATGGAGTCCCGCCAGAAAGCTACCAAGGGTGCTGAGGACCGAACTTCACGCTGTGACAAGCTCGGACATGTGTTGGACGTGACGGCCGAGCCTGTGAGCTCCTACAGGTGGCCGATGGCAACTCGGTTCGTGGGACGCATTGGCCTCAGAGATCCTCAGAGTCTCAGAGTATGGACTTTGGATGGCAGAATATCTTTCTTTGCATCAGGCGCTACGAAGATCAGTTCTTCAAGACCAAGCTCTGTATGTTCTGGGAGAAGGCAGTGTGCATGCAGTCAGTGACTTTCTATCGTTTCGAATCTTGCCAGCGGCCCCAGAGGTTGTTGGTGTGGTTTGGTGAAATGTTACAGCTTACAACCATCACCCAAGAGCATCTGACAGCGTTCGCAGTGCCCGGTTCGCCCACATGCAGGGCGCGTGCACGCGTGGTTCGAACTGCAAGTACGCACATGGTGGCAAGGCCTGCGGGGGAGGGAAGGGAAACAGAAGGTGAGCTCGAAGGAACCGGTCAGGTCGCTGTGAGTACTCTGGAGTCCCTGCGTCGTAGGCTTGTGCCGCTAAAGCCCTGCTGCTGCTTCTGACGAGACCTCTGCCAGTGCAAGCTGCTTAGCTTCAAGTCTCCGAACTCTTCGGAGGAGCTGAACGAAATGCCCAACCTCACCAAGACGCCCCTTGGGTCCGAGCAATTCGAATTTGCGGGAGCCAGGCTGACCTCTGCGACTGTAAGAAACACTGCAGTCCCTGCTCTTTGCAGAAGTTGCTGTTTGAAGCTTTCGTGGCCGAGCTATTTCTGAAGAGTACCTGAACCACACTTAATGTCTGTAAGCCTTCCTAGTCCTAGTGTCGCATCCCCTCTGCCCTTTGCTCCCGCAATGCTAAACTCAGACCACTCGCCTGTAGCGAAGACTCCTAAGGTCTCTTTGCAAAGATCTTCTCACAACAGGCACCTGCACAAGGTGGGCAACAGAATGGCCCTACGATCTGTTGCTTCGCGCACACAGTTGAGTGAGCAGATTTCCAGAAAGGATACGTTCGGCTTGACAGGCTTGAACGGACAGAACAGATTGCTCACATCTTCGGTGCAGGAGTGATTGTCTCTTTGCGCACAGTGTGGAGGACGGGAGGTCAAAGCAAGGGATGCACGCTACCCTTCCAAGCTGGATGCAGGAGCTCAGGGCTACTAACAAATTCTACAAGACTTCCATGTGCAGCAGCTTGTCAGCACGGCTTGTCGCAGTGCTAAATTTCGGAGCCCAAGACTGGCCGCAGCCAGAAAACGCCCTGTAGGAGGTCCACGTACCTTTTGAGAAGCAACTTCCAGCTCAGGCTTTCACCGGGTTGGTCAGTGCAAACTGGGCACGGCCTGCCGGGCACTCACAACTTCATCTTGTGACGTGATGACTTGCGAGCTGGAGCCGTCGTGGTGCTGGATGCTCGTGCATGGCAAATCACTCCGCCACGAAATTGTCCACATGCTTGGATTGGACAGAGAGTGCCGCTTTCCTTTGGCTTCGTCATCACTCTGCGGTCTGTCGTTCCGAGTTGGTAACCTGAATGTCGCAAGATGCACCTGCATTCAGAGCCGGGGTTGCAGGCTTTCTGAAAAGTCTAGGCGAAAGGGTGCTGCTGATGCACCATGGCTCGGAGATTCTGCTGCTTTGTTCATACTTATCACAAGGGGCTTGCATTTCTGCTTCTCCACATGAAGAAAACACCTGCCTCCTTTCACCGGAAGGCCCTTGAAAGAAACACATTCTGTCTCGCATTCCTTTCCCCAGGCCGCCATGCGCACGACCCGTCGGAGCTGACGGAGGTCTCACGAGTGAAGGCCTTGACTCTCGATGACACGGAGGTGGGACGGGATGTCAATGACCCTCCAGTTCGCCGATTGGCCAACGTGGAACGATTTCCACTGCTCCAGAATCGCCCCTCAACTGGGTCTGACGTTTGGAAAGGTGGGCGGACTGGGCCCATCTGGACGAACAGCTGCACGTCGCGGGCCTCGCCGGGGTCTTGGACTAAACCTTCTACAACCTGCCTTCACAGCACCAGCAACTTGAAATCTCCAACGCACCAGAATTTGGAACATTCACTATCAACTCCGATGGCAAACTACGCTGCGTTCTGACAGAGCCAACGTCAATTGTAGCCGGCATGGCACGCACAGCTTGTGGAAAGCGGATCAGGGCTCATGGATGCTGTTGGCTGCCTGGCTTCGGCTGATGAGTGGCTTGATTGATCCGAAACCAGCGATGCGAAACATGCTCAAACCAGGGCCCCCCTAGAACACGCAACTCTCAACGCAGGATGAGACCTGTTCTTGCTTTCGTCTGGAGCGTGTGGTGTTTCTAAAACCAGTAGCATGCATTCTCAATGAGGGTCGTTCGGAAGGTAGCATTTTAGATCGCGCTCATCCGACTACAGCGGGAGCGCTGTATAAGAAAATGCTTTCTGTGACGAGGGTGGTCTGGTTGTCTTATTTTGATAGCGGCTGGTTTTATGGGAATATTTAGTCTGGGATGGGTCAAGGTAGTCTGGTTTTCTTAAGGCCGTTTTCTTATATGGCTATGTCCAGGGCCCGTTCCACAAGAAAACGAGACTCTGGCATTTTGTTATTCTCCTTCGTTCCAGAACCCACCTAAATAGGAAAGCGAGACTCTGGCATCTTCTTATTCTCCTTCGTTCCAGAACCCACCTAAATAAGAAAGCGAGACTCTGGCATTTTCTTATTTTCCTTCGTTCCAGAACCCACCTAAATAAGAAAACGAGACTCTGGCATGTTCTTACTCTCCTTCGTTCCAGAACCCACCTAAATTTAAAAACGAAACTCTGGCATTTTCTTATTCTGCTTCGTTTCAGAACCCACCTAAATGAGAAAACCGAGACTCTGGCATTTTCTTATTCTCCTTCGTTCCAGAGCCCACCTAAATAAGAAAACGAGACTCTTGCATTTTCTTATTCTCCTTCGTTCCAGAACCCAGCTAAAGACCACGAGGATGCCTACGATCCCTGAAAGCCGTGCTTGGAAGCCTTGGAGGGGAAACTTCAGCAGGGTCAAGGCACGAAGTGCCTAGGACACCCCAAGTACTAGGGCTAGGATGTTAGGCAAAGGCCCCTGATGTATGGAACCCCTCACAGAGCACAGGCCAAGTTTACGCGCACTAGTATGACAGAACGAAATAAGAAAATGAGACTCGCGGACGAGGGTACGCTGGTTTTCTTATTTTAACAGTGCTTGGTATTTTATGTAGAACCCTATCAATCGCAAAATCCAGAGTCTCATTTTCTTAATCCAATGTTTTCTTAAGTAGTGCTGTTGCTGTACTTGTGACTTCCCGAACCGGCAAAGGCTTCGGCTGCTTCGGCTACTGTTCACAGAGACTGCGGTTCAGGAAAGAGCCGTGCCGAGAAAAGCGCAAAGAAGATCCTGGTGAGCACCGCGGAAGAGGAGGCTGTCAGAGAGAAGTGCGCATGAGCAAGCTGGCTTCGACATTCGATGTGCAGTGTGTTTCATTGGCGCGGGGTTCCCGGGACAAGGAAACTGCACCCACACGCCCAAACCACACCGTAAAACCGCCGTTGCTGAGCCTTGGTAGGACGACGAGTTCCCCGAGACTCCGCCAGTGCCTCATCGCCTGTGGGGGAATCTATCTAGGGTCCATGAGCCGTCAAGCGAGTTGACACCTGGACAAGACAAAGCCCCAGCCTTTCATCCGCTGCATCTCTTTTTGACTTGCTCCAGAGGTACATGAGGCCCTTGCTATGTCTGGTGGTGGTTTCACCATTACATGCATAACGCCAATTCCTCCTCAGACTGATTTCTTCATTCTTCAGGACATGGGAGAGGGTGCCGGCCCCAGAACCTGTCCGCCATCGCTACACTCCAAGAAGGGCCAGAGAAGGTTCACTGAAACGTGCTGAATGTGAATCAGATTCAACTATGCGTTCGGTCACAGTCTTCAGGCAGATCTGCATGCAATAGGAGAACCGTAGCTGCAGCTAGTCGACAGCATTTCAGAAAGCATGCAATACACCCCAAGATAGATGATGTTCGGACGGTTGTCTGTGCTCAGATGACAACTTCGCCGCCCACCCTGGGGTGGCTTCCAACTGCTGCTTTCCAGCCGGTGTCGCCAGAGGGCTCGGCTCCCGGCATCTTCCAGTTCGGCTTTGCAGGTACGGGAGAGCGTTCGCTAGAGGACGGACGACCGAAGGGTTGACGGCATGCGGACGGTGAGTTCAAGCAAGGTCAGGATCTTCCAGCTGAGGAATCTGGGGAAATCGTGGAATCGGTCGTTGAATGCTTGCGACCGGAGCATGCCTTACCTTTTGGATTTCCGTTGTTCTCTGGCTGGCACTCTCTGAAAAATTAAGTCTGTCACTTTCGTCGCTGTGCGTCGAGCTTGCATGTACTACCCTCCGTGGGCTTTGTGAGTACGTGTCGCCTGAGAGCGGCGTTAGAACTCTCGCCTGTGTGTTCGCGTGCTCCGATAGCAGATGCAGCTTCCGTCAGTGAGGGAAAAGGTGAAACGCCACAACAACGTAGTCCGATGAGGGGTGAATGTCAGACTGCAAAGTATGCCTCAAACGTCTTTCGGACCGCTCACTTGTTGGCTCGGTTGTGCAGCAAGCGTGCTCGGCGAATGCTCGGTCGTGGGCAGTCGATCCGTTGGGCCACTGTCTTTTCGAATTCTTTATCGCATGACTCTACAGCATGACTGGTGTGCGTCTGCATCTGGGTTTTGCAGGCCAGGTGTTCTTTAAAAACGGTTGTGCAGAGTATCTTCCCTGCACTTGGTGGGCGACCTTTTCAGTTCTATGCACTCGAATGTCAGTACAAAGACAATGAGAATGGTGACTTCTCGGCAGGGTTTCTGCAGTACAAGAGATATCCACGTGACAGTGCTTACATGACGAAGAGGTTGGACATGTGTAGCGGCTGCACATGCGGGTGCGACTGCCCACCTGGAGCATTACAGGTTTTCTCTATGTGCTTTGGCTCTGGCCGTAGAGTGCGACAGCCTGGGCAAAGGGCCCACATGAAGACTGCCAACCTCGCAAAGGACTGAAGACATAAGTCGTGGCAAGCAGCCTTCGGAGATTGAACCGAATGTGTAAAAGCAGGCTGGAGAGAAGGCTAGGATAGGCAGGGAAGTACAGGCTGGATGCAAGATGTCACACTTTGCACGCTTGCGCAGTAGGGCCCAGGTACTGGCAGATGCATGAGATGAATAAGCAGACTCCGAAAACTGTTGCATGCATACTTTGACCATAGCAGCTTTCGCCAGCTAGCATGGGACGATGAGCGGCCTAGACAGGCTAGAGTCTACTGAGTCTACTGACTCTGCGTCTCAGGCTTCAATGCTCCCAGCGTTTCATCGAACTCCACGGCCACGGGCGGTGCTGCAACAGCGTCGCAGCACTCCGATGACCAGGTTGGGTGTTCAAGTGTGCGTCTGAAGCATCGACAGGCCCGTCGGCCCGCCCTGCGCTGCCAGGATGATGAGCTGGATGATGTTTGCGATATGTGGGCAATTGTCTCAGTATCAAAGCGGCTTGTGGCTTCGAGCCTTCCGATCCACTGTCCAGGGTCCGATTGCCGAGGCTCGCATGAAGACGGTGCCCGCCCCTGCGGTTGCCGCAGGTGCGCCGATGGACAGGCCCTCGGTAAGCCTTACAACTCCCTCTGGGATGTTAATGGAGAGGTGGAACTCGAGTCGTGTAAGGAGCGTCTGCGAAGGGCATGGGCAACCTGGGGATCAGCGTATGCTCCTGTTTAGGGAGATCGTGGCGAGATGCCTTCCCGATCATAAGATTAATTGAGGGCTGCATGAGGCATGAGGCCACTCCCTGCCCGTTCACAACACCTGCTCAAAGCTTGTGACATGCAACATTTCAGAACCGAAACTCAGGGCTGTGACCTTCTCCTGCTACAGTCAGTCGCCAGCCAGAAGATCACACGGCATGTTCAGAACATGAAGGCCAGAGTGCTCTGCAACTTGTGTTTCGAAATGGAACAGCACCGTTTGACTTGATTGAGATGTGCCCAAAGCGGCTCATTTTCATACTGCTGCCCTTTGCTTGCGCTGACAACCTGCATGCTTGTCGAAATCCGCTTTTTGAGCAGCACTGGTTCAGCGCTGATGTCCGTGGGAGATCTTTTCGCGAGTTTCCAGAGCTGTCGGATGAGCTGCGGCTCTGTCCAGCTTTCAACACCAAGAAGAACTGCTGCCAGGGTGGCTTGGAACACGAGCAAGCACTGTACTTTGCTTACTGGAGACAGATCTTCAAAAGCAAGATGACCCGCGTAAAGCAGTCAAAACAGGCGGCCCTAGCAGTGCAAAGAGATCCCATCTTCAACAGCGAGGATGGTGGGCGGGACCGGCAGCAGTTTATGTCAGCAATCCAGAAGTACGACGAGATTTTGGATCCCAGTGCTGGGCATGCTCGTTGCCTGTCGACACTCCTTGTCTATGTTGCAGGCATGATCTGCTTCGGCTGCGACCCCGACTGGAAGCAGGAAGTTGACAGGGGTTCCAATGGAAAGCTGCTGCGAGTACTCATTCCTGAAGGCGACTGCATCGAGCTTTGGACGGAATGTGCAGAGTTCGGTTCTCAGGCGCGGCAGCTCCGGGAAGCCGTCCTGGATTCGAGCTTGGCCATGCGGGCAACATCGCCCTTCGAATATTTGCAAATGTTCGAGGACCAGCAGAAGCTCTGTGATTGGGCACACGATGTCATTGCCATGCATCCCTTTACACGACCGGGCGAAGCAGAGAGGGAAGGCACCCCACCGGTCCGGCAAATTGGTGGCAGACGACTTGATAACGGCAGCCAGAGCTTCTCTGACTCTACAAAGGAGTATGATGTCATGAAGCAAGGTCGATCCTCCGGATTTGACACGTCGTGGGAAGGCATGCGGGCAAGAAGTGCTTGCAGCAGCCTTGACCTCTCTGCTTTTGCCGTGCTGGCCATGCTTGCAGCTTTAAAAAGCTAGTGAATGCCCAAGAAAAAGAGCACATGGCTACTGCGATCTGGTGGAGAGAGCTTCGCGGACACTGCCTCGCACCCATTCGGCATAAAATGGTATCACTTTATCCCTGCGCACCTGCTTGGAGAATTGGCTTCCGCAGAAGTCGCTCTTGCGCAGCACTGTAGACATTGCACTGAATGCACGCTGAGGTCGCGATGAGCCGCGGCGCGATGATGATGGGCTTTTGTCTGAGTAGTGATGAAAGGATGTGGAATCACAGACCTCTGAACCTAGGCTGCTGAGGATCCACATGCGGCTGCATAGATTTGAGGAACAGGTCTGGCCAAGCTTGCCTAAGGTCAGTCTATGATCCGCAATGAAATTCAGGCCGGCAGCGCTGCTTTTGCCAGGTTGGAGGGTTCCCGCACTAATTCCCCATCTGCATCTAGAATCTAGTGGCGATGGCGAGGCTGCCGTTGGCACGAGCTCTCGTGCGGCCACCAGCTGCCTCACATGCTCTCACTCAGGGCTCAGGGTTTTACTTACTAGCTGTGCGGATGCGGACAAGGAGATACAGACCTTCCAACCTGGGTAACGGCTTTAGCAACCGGTGCAGGCCGTCCCAGTGACAGCTGCTGGACAACTTCAGATGCCCGCTGACATGCAGGAGACCCATATGCTGAAATGCTGCGAGGAGTACCCTAACATGCTTCCAAAGAACCTGCTGCCTTCTCTCTGCAGAAGATTGTTCCCCGAATTGCCTCGGTGCTTCTTTTAAGGTGGTCGCGGCAGACAAGCGGTGGCGTTATCATTCAACAGGCTCTCAGCCCAGACTCGAATCTCATTCAGTGTGGAAGTGGCGCTGAGGGCTAGATTGTTGGCAAGCCTGCACTTTGTGCACATTCAGCATCTCCTTGTTTCTGTGTCGTGTTTTGGGGGCGCATTGTGCATGTGTGCACCTTCGTTCATTAGACGTCGCTCGACATCAGGGTGCTCAACTATCAATGTGTGGTTCATTGCTTGCCGTCACTCGTTATAGTCCCAAAGGGTTATGTGTGAGTTGCAGGGCATTTTGCTAGCAACACGGGACGCCAATGTTGAAAGACGAATCTGTGGAGTCTCACGGGCAAGGACAAATTCCGGCAATGGGAGTGTTTAATGGATTTAGTGGTGAATGCCAAGCAACATGTACGGCAGACAGAGGCCCAGCGATGCTCTAAGCTTGAGCTTTCATGCCTGGAGACAGGACATCAGAAAGCAAGTCAAACATCAACACTAAAACGGAACGCTGCCAGGACACCATGTTCGGAACAAAGGTCAGGCATATTCAACATTACAAAATTTCATGCGACTGGGAGGTTGTCAACACTTCTCTTGTCGCACCGCATGGTTTGGGCGGGGTCTGGAGTAGCGGCGATTGAGGTTTTCGATTCAGAAGAATTGAGCAGGGTGCCTGGTAAGAAAAAACAGAGTTGAAACCCTGTACAAGAGGCAGCCCTTGCAGGCGTATTGGAACAGGTGCATGTGACGTTGCGTTGCCCACTGGCACACAAGCTTGCGCACTGTTTTGGAACTTTGCTAATCTGCGCCGTGTTTCGATCCGGAGGTTCCGGATGTCTCTTGGCACTAGGACCCACTTTTTACAAGAAAGTTCCCTGCCCGAGTGCGGACAGAGAAGCTCTTGGGCCCGCTTGTTGACCAATCGCCTCTGACAGTTTTGACCGTTACCCCTGCAGTAGGAGGATCAGCAACAAATGTGTATCGTGCTAGAAGCTGTTTGATGCTACTGGCTCTGCTGAACAGGTTGACCCGATGGCGGTCCCGTTCAACCGAGGACTCTTGTAGCTTTGTGGAGGTTGTGCTAGAACGGCCCATTGCCAGGAGTTTCAGGTGACGTGCAGCAGATGGTTATGGTACAGGCTATGCCACAGGCCATGCCGCAGGCTATGCCATCTATGCCAGCCGTTCAGGCGATGCCAGCCGTACAGGCTGTGCCGACTGTCCAGGCTGTGCAAGGTGTGCAGGCCATGCAAGGCATGCAGGCCGTGCAAGGCGTGCAGCCTATGCAAGGCATGCAGGCCGTCCAAGCTACTTGGCAAAGATTGGGATCTCGTGAACATATCTGACGGCAGTTCAGCCCTAATCTTTGAAGCATCTACCGGACAGCCATGGGTCGACTCTGCCAACTACGACATGCAACACGGTCTTCGATATGCGATGGGAGGGCAATGAAACAAGAGTTACAAAGAGTTAAATCCAGAGTTAATTGTTCGTCAGGAGCAGGGTCCGAACTCCAGGACCCGAGAAAAATTATCCAGAGTTAATTCTTGCAGGTATATGCTTGGTTTGCGAAGCAATTATATCTAGATTTAATTGTTTGTCCACTTCAGGTCTTCGAAAACAATTAACCCCGGATTTAGTTGTGTTGCGGGCCCCAGAGGGGGGGTTCAACCATCGGTACGTCGCTTCGCGGTCTTCGTTTCGGTTCCACGTCTCGCGTCTTCAAAAACACTTAACCTTTGGTCTAGTTTTCCCGGTGCTCCGACCGCTACCTCGCTTCGGAAAGTGGCAAGCTATCGTTACTTCGCTTCGGTTCCACATCTCCGGTCGTCAAAAAGAATTAGCTCCAGATTGAATTGTGTTGCGGGCTCCAGAGGGGGACCGCGTCCTGGGTCCGGCCGCAAGGCCTGGCTGCTGGAAATCCCCCAGACTCGGCTGTGAAAAACCTGCAAGCACCTGCGATTTGGGTCAGGCCGGTGAATCCCTTGGACCATGGAGCGCCAAGACCACCATGTAGCCGTAGATCAGAGAGGCAGCAGGAATGAAACCCCAAGACTCCGAATCCTTGAAAAACAATCAAATCCAGAGTTAATTCCCCTCCAACGACCCCACACAAGCAATGAAATCCAGAGTTCATTCCCCTCAGAGGGACCCAAGCAAACAGTTAAATCCAGAGTTAATTTCCCTCAGAGAGACCCCAACCCGCAGACAATACTTAAATCCAGAGCTAATTGTCACCCTGACAACACAATTAAGTACGGAGTTTATTGTTTGGATAGAGGGTTGATCAACCACAGAAGCCAGAACAATTAACTACAGAGTTAATTCTTCCAAACTCTTGTTTTCATTGTCATTGTGTTTCATATGAGATGCATGCTCAACCTTGCCAAGGTCCCTTGCCTCCTGGTGCCAGTTCCCATGCAGGCACAGCAGGTGCCGCAACAGATGCCCCAACAGCCTGAGAAAGGAGACCGGCGCCACGTGGAAGCCCATGAGTGCCATAACAGCCAGCACCGTAGCAAGGCCTAAGGCCGCACCATGCACCACGTGCATTAGGAGTGCTGCAGATATCGATCGTCGGTGAAGCTGCTACTATGCAGTCACTCGTCTTGGGACCTGAAGTTGCGTGCCCCTTGCCGCAGGAGGGTACGTGGACATGAACAGCGGTGTTGCTGTTCCATGTGGCATGGACCTCAAGGTGCAGACGATGTGGTATTAATCACTATCGCCCGACCTGGGGGGCAATGGGGAGTCTCGCGAGCTGTCCCAAGCTTGTTCCTGTGGCTGAACCGCACGACGTTCACGATATCCCTCAATCTGAATTCCCAACATCCTCCAACTGAAACCTGCTTGTCAGATGGCACCGGAGATGGAGGCGAGCAAACTTCGGGACGAGTGCCGACACCTGCACACGCTGAGACATGCATGTAAATTGCGAAGCGACATAGTAGGCATTGTGCGGGAGGCCACCTTATGTCAGAAACTGGGCTGAGCCGTTGTGGCTCCCAGCTGCCAGCTTGGGGTTGGGCTTGACTTAATGTGTTTGGGTTCGCGAGCATCGGCGGCCCAGAGACAGACTCCGTTCCAGCCAGCAGCCAGTGATGGGCCGGGAGGAAAGGTTTCCATCGACTGGGCACGTACCGGTGCTGGCCTGCCGGAGCTGCATCTTGGCCAAAAGTTGAACGGTCTAACGATTTGCTCTTTGGCGATTGTGAGCCCAAACACGAAAGGCTTGCGAAGCGCTATAGAGAAAAGCCACCATGTGGAGGTCACCGTACAGAGACCCTACATTAGCTCCAGCAAAAGTGGACAGTCGATCGTAGCCCCTGCGGCACAGCTTCACAGTGTAGACTGTGATCATGAAAAGTCTTTCGGATCGAAGACGTCCGTTTCTTCCAGGTTATTTGCTGGTGTTCCTCGGGTCTGCTACCATCATCCATGTGCGCCCTTGTGCTACTCCATGGCACGATGGTCTACTCGCTGCCGTCTTGACCACGTTTGTGGCGTTCTTTTTCGCGTTGGCTTTCCGAAACAGCAGCTGCTTGGCTTGGCTGTGGCCCTACTTTAAGGAACATTCGACAATTTGTGTGGCAAATGTTCGCAGCGCGTGCGAAGCTACAGATCCGTAGTTCCGTCGGGATCCATCTCAGGCATCTACGACCCGTATTGGTGTTGCTTTCCGCTGTGTGCCAGTGCCTGCTGGTTCGCAGAGAACCCACACCAGATTTCTGCACGTAGCTTGTACACATTTGCCCTCCTGGGCTGTTGGGTGGTGCGATACAACTGCCAGTGGCCCTGGGAAGGACAGCCTTCTGCATGTTTCTCCGATCTCGCCCGTGAGTGCAGCTTCGCCAGCCGCTGCAAGGATGGACCACGGGACTCCACAATGAGGATTGGCGATATCTTCTTATGGCCAGGAGCCTGGGCATTCATGATAGCTGTGGTCCGGTGTACAGGATAATGGTCAGCCTGCTGGGCGCGCACCTGGTGCCTACAATGCTGGTTTGGTGCGTCTTTGGACCTGTCCAGACGGTATGGACTCGTGAGTCACCAGCTGCCTTTAAGCTCATGGACATCTTGGCCATGGGTACTTCTTTGGCAGGCATTGGCTTGCAGTTCCTATCAGATGCTCGGAGGCTTTTGAGCTCGAGTCAACTCCACAAATGTCATTGTTTTGAATTTTTCCCAAAAGACTTGCAAAAACTTGTGCACTCATTCCATTGGCAGGGGTGTTTGCATGGTCTTCGTTGGTATTGTATGGTGCATGGTCTGAAGGATGACCTGATAATAGTCCTTTCGAGGATCGCACCTTGTATAACTTCCGTCGGAAGCATATGGACCTCACGAGCCACGACAATTTCGAGACCCACAGTTGCAAGGCAGCTGTTGGACTAAGAGCAGTCCTGTCCCGACCACAGGTCAGACATTATCAGACATCTGCACATAGCCGGAGACATGCTGAAGATGCTGCGGATTTGGTCACCAAGGTTGCCGGGCGACCTGTCGTGAGGGCCCCTGGAGCTTCAGCCGCCATCCGAATTACCTCGGAGAGGTGCTTTTCTGGGCAGGCACACTCCATGCTTCGTTTGCGCTATTTCCCTTTGCACGAGATCACCACAGAAACTTTGTAGCATTCCAGCACCACCTAATTGTATGTTCACTTGGGCATCCTCTTGTGCATGTTGATTGTGTTTGTGCTCCATTTTCCAATGAAGTGCCGTCTTCCGGTTCCCTGCACGTCCTCTCCTATGTCGGTGTGGATGACTTTTGACTGTTGATATGTTCGTAACTTTGCTGCATGTCATGCGAGCTGGGTGCGCTATGTGTGTGTCGATCAGTCTGAATATGAGAATAGGGCAGGTCCAGTTTCGGATGAGATCTTGCAACAATGTCCAATTCATATGAAGGTAAGTTAGCACTGCCGCTCCACGCACTTCATGTCAGTGCAAGCGCCAGCGTCAAAAATCTCAGCCAAACGCCAATTCAATCACGCAAACGTGTGACTCTCAAAGATGTTCCGAAGAGGACATTCACAGCTGCGCAAACACTTTCGCCAGCTGATGAACAAGCATTGTTTCACAGAGCCAGAACCTTCCCCAGCACAGTCATAGCAGGGGCTCGGAGGCTGAAAGCACAGGATACGCGCGTCAGAAGCAGTTCAGGAAATTCGTCTTCTTCACGTGCTGTTTCGGGTAGTTTGGCGGCTTGAATCGCATGCAGGGATGAACTTTGCATCCGTGGCTGCCGATCCCTCTGAGTGGCTCTGCTCTCTGGGAGGCGTTCTGCAGTATGCCACCTGCATGAAAACAGAAGGCTTAAGAACAGCACATCCATGCTCTCAGCGACAGCCTGCCTAGCCGAGTCGAGCCATGTGTAGTTGTCGGAGTTCGCCGAGATATGTCGAGATGAAGCCACACGAATCCAGAAAATATGAACGTCGCATTATGTCACCAAGGCATGCTTCTTCAGAATTTCGGCATCGTTGATGGACCGCAGGAGCTTGGCCCACCGACCTGGGTTTCAACAGGTTATGCAACCATCTTAGAAAGACTTTCTACATTCGATTCTTTCGAATTCCTGTTGAGTGAAGCCAGCCGACTAGATATACACTCGAGCCGGAACAGGTGTGCCACCGTGCCATGAGCACGCCTCTTCGAAGTGGAGAGTGGTTTGCTGAGCCTAGGTCCTGTGTTGCTGTAGACTGCCCAAGAACCATGATTTGTGACGTAAACGAGATATGAACGAAGCACTAGCTGGAGTGGACCCGTAGCTGAAAAGCTCAGCATCCATAAGGCCATGTGCACGTTGTTCAGGTTATGTTGGAGGTCAGTGCTCTTTTCCCAGCTCCTCTAGTTCTTGACCGAGTGCTGGATCGCTGGCTGATTCCATCCGTCCGCCTTCAACGTCCTGGTTAACGTCAACAACGTTGAGCAGTAGTCAATGCCGGCGTCGTTATGAGACCAACTTCATGCCTTTATGCTACACGATCTCTTTCAAATCACAGGGACGGATCGAACGGACCAATCGCATCCAAGAATCTGGACGGCTCTTAAGCATCCAAGAGGAAAGCCTCTTTCATGTTGCGTTGAGGAATAAACTATTCCAGCTTGTCCGCGTGATGGTCGGAACACAACATGGTCGTGCCATGCCTACTGAAGATTTCGGAGGGGAAGAAAGGTGTAGTCGGAGTTGATGGTCGACCGACCCTCCACGCGGCGCAGGTTGTGTGAAAAGATTGAGAAATGCTGATTGCCTGCTCGTGCCTCCTTGCCCGACTTCAATGCACTCTCTCAAATCCTCAAGCTTCCGGGAAGCTTCGCATCCGGAGGCGCGGCTTCTGGAGAGTGCCATGCCGGAGGTTTACGAGGACTAGCGAGCCAAGCGGCGAGCCCAGAGCCTGATCCTGAGTGCGACAAGCCCGCTATTGCTCGGATGCTCAGAGTTAAACGGTTTGGAAAGGCAGGATGCCAGGCCATATCCGTTGCATTGCGATGGCATTTGCTACTCCACACTTCCCTGAGGCACTGGCTGTTTCGTTTGCACCGACAACTAGCTGCGTAGGTAACTCCGAGGCAGTTCGCCTCTAGGGAAGTGCAATACAGTCGGCCTGAGATCGGCAAGTTTGACCAAAGCAGCCACGCTCAAGCACATCGGAAACCAGGTTCTGGAAGCCCGTAGAAGCTTCGACCGCAGCTGAGACACAGCACTCTGGCATGTGCTAACACGGTGCATAGCCCATACCCTGCAGAAAGGCATAGATTTGAAAACTTTAATGCTAAGGCTGCTTAAGGCATGCTAAGGCAAAGCTTGTGGACGTCGCAGTCATTGCTCCGCCCCGAGGTCACGCGCAATGATGTCCACGTCTCAGGGCCGTCTGCCACATTGCATGGGCACAAGCGGATGGAGCCTGGTTTCTCGTAGGATGCGTATGAGAAAGACGCGCGTTCCAATGAAGTGCCGACCCAAGGCTCCTCTTCATTGCGTCTCGCGAATCTGGTCTTTGGAATAGTCTCTTTACAAGCAGACTGCTCGATGAAAGTCTGACCTGTTGTGCGCAATGCGCTCAAGTGCCTCATGTTGCTGAGAAGCCCATCTGCAAGTAGTTTTCTGCGGGCCAGTTAAAGCTTGGCTGCATCCGAAGCAAGGCGGCTACAAGACACCAGTGGAATCTGATGGCATAAGTTTGGTGCAAACCCTGGAAAGAGGACAGGGCCCAGCAGTCGTAGAACAAGCTGTTGCTGTAAAGTGGCCATCACGCAGAAAGACGTCTGGCGCAATGTAGCCGCCACTGCCCTTTTCAGATTTTCCGTGCCCGTCGCTGCCACGAGTCCTCGCGAGAGCGTAGCACCACGGGACCCGGGAGTGATGTGAGAGGTGTTACTTGCAGACTGTTTGCCCTGTAGCAGCCCAGCAAGTTGCCAAAGTGGTCATGTTGAGCTGCATATCTGGCAATGTGTAGTAGTTTGAGGCTGAGAGGTGCATCTATGATCATGAGCGAGGCGAGCGCAGCAGGCTGCTTCCCATCTCACGCCATTCCTTTCACTGACCCCCAGAGGCATGTCAGCGAACCGCTGGCAGGCAAGCCGATGCTGCTTGCGGTAATTGGATCGCTGCTTTCTGTCTCTATCCCCTTCTCAACCACGACCATCTTGGCAGACTGAGTCTTGTCGATGTGCAGCAGCTTGGCAAGTTGAGATGTTCATATCTTCCTGGCAGCGGCTGTGCCCTGCCAGGAGCACCTAATTGTTTGCCGGAATCCCCGAAGACATCGGACCGTGCCGTTTCTTTAGCCTGGAGATGGCTTATGGGCCTCCGGTGCTGTGAAAATCATGCAAGCACCAATGCTGCAAGACACGGTAAGTGTTTTCTTCAGTGCCCATGAGCGTCAGCTCGGAAGATTTGCCATGACGCGAACGCCTCGCGATTCTTTGTGTTTATATGTTTATCCTTGTAAGTGTGCGAGGCACTCCTCCGTTGTAAGAAGGCTTTCGCGTGCTGACAGGTGCATGCAACGGCCCCTGTGTGAAAGCAAGTTTTTGTTATTTGTCTCACCAGTTGGAAGATATCGACGCGAACTTCTGCTGGTGCTGGCCTCAGGGTTCAGCGGTCGCGATTTTGTGAGTCCCTTGCTGAGCAACCCATGACGTTCGCGCTGAGGAGAATGGCTCTTGATTTGTTCCGGCCAGTGTGATGTTCGCAGACCACGCATAAACTAAGCTAACTGACGGCATCTGATGGTGAAGAAGCTCGAATGTCACCACGGAAACAGAGTTGGAGTTAGAGTAGAGTAGTGTAGAGCTGCCTGTTACCAAGTCTCACCTGATGCACAGAAAGCAGGCAGAGTCTGAAGAGTACTTTCAAGATGAGTAGATGGGTGGTCGTGCGTGCTTTCCAGAAGATGAGCGCCACACGAAGCTCAGGCACCGTCTTCACTTGCACAGAAATCGTCGACCAGATTGGTTGACTAAATGCCTGGTTATTCTGATTGCAATGTCTTGGCATACATGCTGAACTCACTGAAGCGAATGAATTTGCCCATTCTTTGAAGCCAGGCCTTTGTGAACCACTGGTAAACTTCAGACCAATCAGCCACCGCGGTGCGAAAACAGATGGGAAGAACAGCGTGTGCGATCCGGAGCGGCTTTCTCACAGTGGCGGAGCGGAGGTATCTCCAACTGGAACTCAGACATGCCCAGTCCTCGAAGTCTGCTTCTGAAGTTCTCAAGCTGATCCAATTGCCAGGTTCTTTAACAGCGTTGTGATCCGCTCGTGTAAACTTGCCCATGTATGTCGGCTGCCGTGGGTGCACTTGATTTGTGTGTTTCTTGCGTCTTGCGGCGAGTACGCCGTCTGCCGCAAAATGCGACGGACTGACTTCATGCAGTTCTGTTCAAGATACAAGGAATCAGTGCACCGCCAGCTTCGCTGCGACGCGGAAAAGCAGTGATGGTGATCGGGACGGGCGAGGGCCCACAAGCCTGGGCGCAGTTGCAAAGTGGAGCGGTAGAATCAACCCCCCAGAAGACGGACACAAGCTGCCCGCAGGTGCAGAAAAGTCTTTCTCGAGCACCCATGGGTAGCTTTGGCAAATCCCTCAGGGATGTTGCCAACAACGTGGAGGCATCACGGAATCGTCTTTTGTTTGCCCTCATGCTGCTTGACTTGCTGAGAGCGCAGAGCTATCCTCGGCAGGGCTTAAGGGAGCTTAGGTGGAGTTCAGCCTTGATTTGCAACAACGTCTTGGTGGGTTCTGGCCTGAATCGAAGGATAAGTACCGGTTACTGTTACTGTGAGAGGTGATAAGTTGTTCAGAGCAGATAAACCTGTCAGCGCAACTGAGCAGTCGAAGGTTCAACGCAAATAAGGTTAGGCTCTCAAGGGATGTCGTTTCAAAACGCTTCAAATTGCATCCGTGTTGCTGAAATGTCTTGAGGTTCAAATTACCTGCAGTCATGTTTTCTGAGAATCTTGGCGTTGTCAGTGTCTGCTGGGAGGCACGTCTCACTCAGCTGAAGCAAGAGATTCAAGACGAGGAAGGTGGCTGCAGCAGGCACGGGTTGAGTCAAGTAGCTTCGGAAAGTGCAGCTTCACGAAGCGGCTTCGGGGGGCATGGACATGGATATAAGTGCCTGCTTCAGGCCGGAGGCCCGGCAAGCGTTTGGGAGGTTTTGGGGACCCCACCACCGCCTGGGTGAGGGATGTGACGGAACTTCCTTGTCACAGAAGCGCGGCATTTCCTTTGAAGAGACTCGCTTTTTCTTTCTCTCCGAGCCCTGCACTGCCCTGCGCCTCAGCTCCGGCGGCGGGTCGGCGCTTGCGCGGCCTCCGGCGGGGGCTTTGGGGGCGCTCGGCCTCTCCCTCGGCGGGCAAGCGCAGACCTTGCCGCAGTGGGCTGGCTCGGGCGGCTCAGGCTGGGCCGGGTGTTGCACGGGTGTTGCCGTGTAAGGCGTGCAGTCTTGAGGATTGAAACTGGAGATCTTCTTGAGCCGCTGGGCACCTCTTTGGTTCAAGCGGATTTGGGAGGTTCGGGGTTCGGTTCCCTGCCCGGGCCGCGGTTAGCGATGGTGGCCGGATCCTCAACGACTTCGGAGTTTAAAGGCTCCGGCTGAGAATAATGCCCAGGGCGTCTATAGGCGCGAAGCGAAGATACAATCAGAGGCAAACGGAACGAGATCTTCCCCCCAGCTACGAGCCAGCAGAATCGAAGAATGAACCAGACCAGCACGGGGGAGATGCGAGCGACAGTGTGGCATGCATTGCGTCGTTCCATCTTTCTTGTGCTGCAGGTTTCATACACAGCATTTCATAGTATGGCATTGTGCCGTGTGGCCTTAGGCATCCTCGCTCGCCCCTGTTGCTGTGTCGGGCAGTTGTTCAAGGTGCGGCGCCTGATAGGCCGAATTTCGGCTGCGATGGAGTGGTGGGAAGAGCTGGATGAAATGGAGAAGCGCACTGCCCTCAGGTTCTCGGGATTCAGGGAACTACTGTAGTCTCTTAGGGCTGGGCAAATTCTGCAAACTGAGACCGGAGAATGTGTTGAAACGCGCATGGCTAACAAGGCCTGCAACACAACCCATGCATTGCACTGGGGCAACCTGCAGAGTTGAGGGCAAATCGCGCGACAGCGACAAGCACCGACACATCAAAACAAAGTTGGAATAAGGAGCGAAAGCCAAAATCCCATTCGCTCAGTCCTGGCATATATGGCGACTGGAATGTACTTCGGCACCGTCTATGGGACCTATGTCCGCCGCGGCAAGGCAACAGCTTGGTCATCTCGCTTGTGTCATGGTGAGTTCCGGAACTGCCTCCTTAAAGCTACAGTTGGCTACGCCAGAGTCGGACTATCTTGTGTGAGCCTCAGAGTGCCCAGTGAACCCGTTCCAAGGACATGAGAGTGGTGACCAGCCCTGCAGGACGTAGGATACTTTCGAGCTTGAACGGTCTCCAGCATCCGCCCAGTTGGCGTCCATCTACGAGGTGCCCCAAGCGAAGAAAAAGGCTTTTGAGGCCCAGCAGACGGCAAAGCTGACTGTTTGGCCTGAGCCCCGAAGCCCCGAAGCCGGCAGGCGAACTGGAGCGACCAGGCGCGTCTGGCCCAGAGGCAGCCAGGCTACGAGTGGACGCGGACCTACAAGGCGAATCCCCGCCCACATCTTCAAAGCTTAGCGCTTAGGGGAGACAGCCAGACGTGCGAGCAGGCCATCGATTGGGCCGATGCACCATTCCACTACGTCTCCTTCCGCATGTGGGACCAAGCAGCGAGCTATTACAGGACCGGAGACTTACAAAACGGGGAAGCGACGCCATTGGTACCAGACCTTCTGAATTTGAAGTTCGCCACGAGTGCCCTCAGGTTCTGGCTTGCCGTCAAGCAGAAGCTCGCCTGTTCTTCGTAGTTTTCCAAGATAGGTTTAGACAACGAAGTGCAATCCAAAAGAGCCTCCAGAAACCACTCCTGGAAGCTGAAAAGAGCCGTGAGAGCGTCGGACGTGCCAGGATGGTTCAGTTCGACCCCACCTGGAAGGAGCTGACGAAACGTGTGGCGGAGTCCTCTGCCAGCCAGAAGGACGTGAGCCCTTCGAAGCTGCCAAAACGGGCCCTCCTTAGTTCCGCATCGGGTTCAGGATTTTTGCGGGCTTTGAGTTTTGTGAAGTTTTCACGAACACGCTTTACAAAGCAAGTGCCTGGAATAGCTGAGGCGGACAGGACCTCCTTAAACCAAGGCTCTGGCTCTATATAAGCGCAAAGGACACCGTCTACCGAATACTGGTGGACGACTCTGTGAAGCGAATCATTGAATGACGCCTCGTCTTCAAAGCTTTGACGTGTCGAGAGTGTGCTTTCACTTGTTGTACAGCCCAAACATCTTTACTTCGGTTATCGTATATACCGTGCGCGAAAAACGTCGCCAATGATATGGAAAGCTCTGTTTACACTGGACTGCTTACTCGCTCTACGTGTTGTAGACTTCAATGCATCGCAGTTTCTTCTGACGGAGCTTTCGAAGATGCAATTTTCAACAGCACCGGATCCCGAGCTGCTATTGCTCCCACTGTCGGCTAAAGTAGTGGCACGGCTCTGAGCATCTCATGGCTCTTGAGCGCCGTGTTGTCCGACGCTCCATTTCTAGTTGTGACGGCTTCATCACGCAAGTGCTGAATGTCTTTGCTGTCCGAGCTGAAGATCAGAGCTGGCCACACAGACTTTTAGGGGCTTTGCCATGTGACATGTGGCCTGTTGGCAACATTCAGCGCCTAGTACCTGGCAGCTGCCAGACGGCTGGTCATAAGTGGGAGCATTTGTGACATGTGTGGATGCATCTGCCATCAGTGCACCAGAGGCTTCCCATGTCTTGCAGAAATCGTCACTTCTCACACCACATCACTGTCGCATCCTGCGGCAAAGAAGAAATGATTTCAGCCCCGCCGTGCTAGACTTTGCAGAAGAAGTCTTGGCATAGTCCGGAGTTGCAGAGTTGCACAGCAAGAGCATTCCAGCAGGCGACGACACCTCCTCAATGAAGGCTCCGTCGGCAGCTGCGGGAGCAAGCTTTCGAAAGCCTCATGATTGGGCCGTGAGATCCGCATCATCACGAAAATGGCTGCGATGCTGTCCAGAACGCCTGCTCACAAAGGGCAAGTTTTAGTTGCCAGGTTGCTGGCACATCCAGGAACTGGGAAGTTCTGGACTGCACGAGCCCAAGTCCGAAAGAGTCTTGGCAACAACTTTCGATCCGGGTGCGCAGCCTTAGATGCGGTGAGGCCCGCTGAGTGCACGTGATGGCTACGATCGACCTGCCACGCGAGATGGTGCGGGCCCAGGTTTTCGGCCTTCTGCGGGCGTCTGTGCTGTGCAGCAGTGTTTTCGCCTTTGAAACTCGCTGGTGGGGGTGCATGCTTGCCTTATGCTTCTGAGGCGCTCGGCCGTGCACCCAGGATGGCAGCAGATGGCCCGCGGCCGAGCGTATGGATCTCGTATTGCCTCCGTGGGTACAGTTCCGCATCGAGGCGCTTGGAGAGTCGCCCGGTGACTCGCGACGGCCCTCTAGAGCATCGGCAGACCCTGGATGGCCACTTCGGCTTTGTATTCAGGGCCTTTACTTGCAGGCCAATGTATTAATTCAGGCAAGCCCGCGAGCAAGCGGATGCTACTATGAGTGGGTGTCAAATGTTCCTGCCTGCCAGCGATCTCTGCATTCCAGAAGAACTTTTCGTCGGACAGCTCTTCTCGTGTCCTCCGGGAAGTTTGTTGCCGGCTCAATATGTCGAACACAACTGCATGTCTGCGCTGGAAAGCCGCTGACATGACAGATCGGTACGGACCGGGGATAGCATACTGAGCGTGGGAAGTGGCACGTAACAGCTGCCTAGTTCGTCACTAAGAGAGTCATTTTGCGATCATATCGCAGCCTCCAGCCTCCTGTGCTCTTTGGAACGAACATCGTTGCAAATCATTGTTCTTTGTCGACTGTATTTCATGATTGAAAGCGTTGACATCAGTCCTTGTTGCTCCATCGGTCAAACTCCACAGCGTCTACTTCTACAACCGCTTCGCAGGCGTTCGGCCTAGCACGAGAGATGGAGCACGACTTCAACAGGCCCTTGAAGGAGTTAAGGATTGACTTCAGTTCTGTCGTCAAAGGGCTGCCCAGGACTTGCTTGTGCAGTTTGTGGCTTTTTGGGCTCCTCTTCTGCCTTTGCCAGATGATCGATGGGAATCGCCGATCAGAAGCCGGGCCACGCCCCGGAACGAGGTCCCTTCTGGGCTTTGCTTTGTACAGATTGATCCGGAAGTTTCTGTAATGCCCGACTGGCTGCCTTCCCCTCAGCTTCACAGACGCGTTTTCCAAGTGCAGCGTCGCAACATGTGCTTGCAAAGCTCCTTTAAACTCCGGCGCCCCGATCTGAAGCACTCAAAAGACACAAGCGCTCCGTTACAGGGACGGGCGAGCCTCTACAAGGCCTCTTGCCTGAAACGAGCAAGATTGGAGTTCGATCTTTCAGGAGTTTGGATTAAGGGTTGGCTGCGGGAGTGCCCTTGTGGGCCTCACGGAGGCAGCGAAGTGGTAAGCGGCCATGGAAGTGTGTGTCAGGGGCGGCACCGCGGAACGCCGTGGTCATGAGACATCCATTCGCCAGGCACACCTTTGGTTTATGTCGCGGGGGCTTCTATGAAGCTACTGTAGCAGGAGCGAGGTGACATGCTCTTCAAGGTGGCACGAGAGCCTCCTTAAGGTTGCGAGTTTGGATGGCCTGCCAAAACTGTTGTGCCCATACGGCATGGGATGAATCACCCAAGCATGCCCGTGAGCTAACTACTCATGCAGCGGTGCTCCTGCCTCTGCTGCAAGCGTTGCGGGCACGAAATTGAAGCTTCGTGAAGGCTTGACATCATAAGTCTACGAGATAAATCGCACAGGCCACCGGCAGAAGCAAGAAGCGCCATCCTTCGCAGCATGTAAGGGACTCAGCATGCTTCCATGAGCACTGCAGCACCCTGCAGTCATGGACAGAGCCGCTTCTGATTCGCCTGCAACTGCCCAAATCTGAGACCGGTCTCAGAGACTCGAGCTTTGAGTGCATCCATGAGTTGTGAGCTCCAGGGAGTGCGTGGGCTTCATGGTCAAATCCTCAGCTGTGCCAGGCACCAGAGGTCCTCAACCTGGACACCAGCTCCAGCCCGGAGGCTTCCAAGACGAACATTGGATATTTCCCTGATGATAGACAGATCTTACCGAGGCGATTTTAGACCATACACTGTCGGGACGATGTTGGGACTACAAATTCAAAGTAAACTAGACCAAGGAAATTGAAAGTTGTTACATGCAGAGATGAATTTCAATCCTTGGAGAACTTCACGCATTCGTACTGCAAAAGGTACTCGTGCTTGGCGGTCTTGTCACGGCATGTCAGATGTTACATGGCAGGTTCAGACACAGCCTCAACAAGCCCAACCACTACAGCTGCTTCTGATGGAAGACTCCCGACAGAACCGGGCTCCTTTCGGCGTGTTGGCACCCGAGTGCCTTAGCCCCTGCATGGACGCCGACGAAAGTGCCGAGCTCCTAGCCATCTCCGCCCGAGTAAGATCACCATGGCACAGTCAAGTTCAGCATAAAGCATCACTGAGGCCGAGCTGCTTGAGTGAGAGCACGAAACGAAGCATTGTTTTTTGCCACTGAGCTTGAGTTGCTGCAACGTTGCTGCTGAAACGCATTTGGGAACTTAAACAGTGTCACATGCGAGGCAGCTTGTCAAGCAGTGCGGTAGCATTTGTCTTCCAAACACAGTCCGCGTTTCTACTTTTTTTGACCTCCAGAGAAGACTTTGTCGGTGAATCTCGCAGCTTCTGGCATCTCTAGAGGTCCAGTGCAGGTTCCGGACCGCAGACTCGGCCGCAGAAGGCCAGCTGTGCCCAAAGCAAGGAAGGGGCAGAAGGAGTTTTTGCAGAGGCGGGCTCTCTATGCAAGCCGAACACCGGCAAGCTGCCATAGTCATGAGGGCGAGGTTCAGCGAGACCTGGACTCCTAGACAGCATGTTTCTTTGCACTTGGCCTCTGCCCTCACGGACTAGCCTGCCTTCATGTTTGGGTTGCAGATAGCTTTAGGCGTTCCGGCTGGAGCCGCAGATAGCATCGTCACCAGAATTGCTGCCCGATCCTGCAATGTGTTACTGCCCTCAGCTCCATGTCAAACTGACAACTGGGCTGAGAGCATGCGTGTGCACGGTGGTTCAGAGCGGGAAGAACCACAGTGTGATCTGGCATGTTAATAGTTCAGAAGCCGAAAGGTGGAAACATACTCGCACTGCAGTCAACACCTCAAGCACCGACGACCTTCCACCATTTTGGCGGCGTCGTTTGCAAGGCATGTTGCACCCCAATTCATCAACTGACCCTTTGGCGTTTCACTCGAATTATTTTCAACCCACATTTGCAGGCTCGGTCATGGACGCCAACTGCGCAGAGCAAGCTGAAGCGGTATGCGACGAACACATCGTGCACTCATCGACTGCCCTGCAGCTGTCGCACTCGGCCGCTCCCAGGCAGTTTTTTATGGCACCCCCTCTGCCTTCGCTGTGACCTCGGGGCCTCAGGGTCCTCGGGGCTCCCGGCTCACACCGAGGCTCAGGGCAAGTGGGGGTCTCAGATGGTGTCAGATGGGTCAGATGGGTCAGGTTCAAGGCACAGGTTGGAGCAGGCTTCCTGTAGGAGGTCTTGATGGTTGCTGCAGCATCCTCACCGGAAACTCTTGCACGTGGCCGAGAACTGCGGATAAAAAGCGGTGCTTGGAGTGAGCCTCTTGCTAGATCCGATCCTTTCTTGTGGCTGGAACGTGCGCGAGGTTCACGATCTGCTTTCGTGGTTGGTAGGTGTGGGGCCCCACCTGGCCTGACGGGCAGCTGCGCAGCGTCCGACACGGGGTTGACATGTGCCCAGCGGCACACTTCACCTCGTCGTTTAACCCAAGCCCTTCAATGTTGGAAGTCATCGCCACCATCTTGATCAGCAAGCACATTGGGGGTGTGAAAACACCGTGCAACCTTTAGGAAGTAAATGTGTTCGTGAGGAGCGAGCTGCACACACCAGCCTCTGCAGCGGTATCAAGACACTGCAAGAGGAGTCCTGCTAGCTTTTGACAAACAAAGATTACTGTTCCTGTGAAACGCTGTGTCCTCCCGATCCAGATTGAGGCGCACTGGTGCCACGAGAGACCAGGGGATGTGCAGATGAGGAACGAAGGGATCGCTCATCTCCATTCTGTCCAACTGTCTGCCCACCACTGGCTGCTTCTGCGGGTCACCGCTTACGGCAATGGTCATCTGGGCTCGCATGCTTGTTGCCAGTGATAGTATTGGAGAGCTCCACGACCGTGAATCTCAAGAGTCAAAAGTCCACCAGCAGTGACAGCCAACGCCAAGCTATGCCAAATTGAGCTGCAGCTAGCAGCAGACAAGAAGTAGCTAGCACATCAACACAATTTGTGACGGTAGAGAGCACCCTGTGACTGCCAAGCAGCTAGCATCCGAAGCGTACAGCACATGCTCTGCAGCCTACAAGCACGAGCTCCGGATCACTTCCGGCCTCTTTTCGATTCCCCTACCTGTTCCCGCTGGGTCACTGCAGCTTTGTCTCCGCCTTGGCCACGCGATGATCAATCTGTCAGAACAGACCAGATCACAAAGCCTGCACTCGAGGCTATGGGCAAGAACAAGGGCTCCAAACAGAAGAAAGACAAGGTGCCGAGATGTGCCGAGTGCAGGGCCAATGCAACCTGGGGTGAATGTTGGCTGACAGGGCCACAAGCGAAGCAAAGACAATGAGGCATAGTGGGCAGCTCATGATTCTGCAGGACAATCCTCCATCAAGCAGGAGCGTCCCAAGATCTGCAAATATGCCATTGGGCCACCGATCACAACGTTGCACAACAGTGAGAAGTTCGACGGGCTGTGCACAGAAGCAGAGCCAGGTGTAGGGCAGAGATCTGATCTGACAGGCCCTTGACGCGGAGATTGCCGGGCAGGCCGGGCGCTTGGGTCGGACTTTGGCCAATCCGAGACGTGCCTGGCAGCGTGCCAGGTCAAAGAAGTGGAAGAGCGGCTGCAGGCAGAAGGGCGTAAGAGGGCTTGACGGTGCCTCTCCGTGTCAAAGAGCCATCGCCGCTTCTTGTTTCCGTTGGAGCTCGCCCGGCCCGGCAAGGCGCTCACCGTCGAGATGAAGCAAATAGAGGCGCGAAGAGGGTTTTGCCAGAAGCAGACACCCACTACCTGATGAATCCTGCCACTCACGAACAGTCCATGGAATAGAGAGCTCCAGCTGTGCCAGGGAAAGATCAAGCATTGCCTTCTGGAGGGCAAAAGAGCTGAGTTGACTGAGAAGGCGCCAAGCTCCATATTTGTATTTGTTCCCACGGCAAGAGGTGTGCCGTGGCTCTAGATAGTTGAAGGATTTCTGCTTGCGTGATGAGTGGGCATTGCGATGCTCATGCAAGGAGCTGCAGCCTATGCCGGAAGAAATGAAAGTCTACAGACAGGCGGGCGCCGAAATGATCCTTCACACTGAGCATCTTCGAACACTGGTTTCTGGCATTCTGGGCATCAGTTTGATTTGTGGCCTCGTGCAGGTGGGCAAAATGTTCATTCTGCAGCCCAAGTCCGATCTAGCCAGGTCCAGGGCGTTGCTTTCGGTTGCCCATCTGCCTGGGTAGGTTTGCATGGCTAGCGGAGATGGCAAGCAACTGGCACCCAGCCAAGGCTTGGCTCCTCCAGCACCCCGAAGCATCGAAGCAACGAAGCCGTCGTGCAAATCAATCATCGAGTAAAGTTAATAATCAATAGCCAATAGCTGTAGACTGTTTCGTTTCGCGCAGCACACTACTGCCATCTCCATTGCAGGTCCCTCAAAGCTCAGGTGGCGCTCAAGACTGTGGAAAGCCAGACTTTGAAGCAGGCGGTCACGGATCGATTGTAAAGACCTTGCTGCGAGCTGCCTTTTTTCGGGAGGCCCTCAATAAGATTCAGGACAAGGTCAAGAGCGAAGCTGGCGACTCAAGAGGGAGGCGAATGGAGGTCTGAGATTTGGCCGCCACATGCGGTGACGGACTCACTCTGCCTCCACTCACTCCACTCCGTCTCCCCTCTCCCCCTCCCGATGCAGCAGTGCTGCCATGGTCACCCTGCTTCCTGGTTTGTGGCGGCACGTTCGTCAGTAGCAGTAACAGTGGGGATTCAAGCTCTTAAGCGCATTTCGAGCTTCTTGCGCGGGAATCTCTCTGCCAAAGCTCGCACCCATAAACTTCCTGAATCAAAGCCGCTCCCCATGGACTGCCTGAGGCAAGGATTTTTCACATGGTACATCTTGTTGTTTGTTGACAGTTGCTAGTGTACTTATAGTAAGAGTTAGTGGTAGTAGTCGTCGTCGTCATAGTCGCAGTCGCAGTAGTAGTAGTAGTAGTAGTAGTAGTAGTAGTAGTAGTAGTAGTAGTAGTAGTAGTAGCAGCAGTAGGAGCAGCAGCAGCAGTAGTAGTCGTAGTAGTAGTTGTGGTAGCAGCAGCAGCAGCAGTGGTAGTGGTAGTGGTAGTGGTAGTGGTAGAAGAAGTAGAAGTAGAAGTGTAAGTACAAGTAGGAGTAGCAGCAGTAGCAGTAGCAGTAATACTAATAAAAATCATAGTCGTAGTTGTAGTTGTAGTTTTTGTGGTTGGTGTGGCTGGTGTGGTGGTCGTAGTAGTTGTTGTTGTTGTTGCAGTTGTTGTTGTTGTTGGTGGTGGTGGTGTTGTCATTGTTATCATTGTTCTTGATATTTTCCTTTTTATTGTTCTTGTTATTGTTCTTTTTGCTGTTGCTGCTGTGTTTGTTGTTATCACGAAAGCTAGCGGCCGGGCTGCAGAGTTTCTTATGAACTGAAGGTTGCAGCAGGGGGGTTGGGGAAGGGCGCCCCTTCCGGCGGATTTTGTTTGTGTGGTTTTCGTGCGAGGCTGCACCTGGAGCTGGATTTGGCCAGCGTCCCTCGACGGTTTTGGGGTGTTGATATATGGCTTAAGGTAGGGTTTCAGACCACGTTTTACGTGGGAAGCGGGTGATGCGCATGATGCTCGCTTACCGGCTTCGTGGCTTTTGCATGCATCGTGCTGGCAGCCTGCGTTACGGGTACTTGTAATGGCGCCGCGAGAGATTGACATCAGCCTCGTAGTTTTCTCATGGATTGCCGCATCAAGCCCAGGCATCACACCAAGGCAGAGGAGTATCGCTACACTGTGTGGCGATACTCTCTTAACCTGAGTAGATTAGGGTGACAGTACCCATTAAGACGTGCGGCCCTGCAACCGAAATTGCCTGAATTATTCCGGCTGGTGCTCGCACAGCCACGACCGAGCAAGATCTCTCGAATCTACATGGCGGACTTGGAGTCCGTTTTACGAAGACGACCTCTGCAACGACAAGCAAGTGTAGTCTTGAATTGCAGCGAGCCCGGGCATGTTACTAGTACTTTCATGATGTGCAAGACCTTGGGTGGTACCTATCGGTAAGTCGAAGCTTGGGCGCAAGATTCCCGTACGTTTCCACGGTCATGTTGTCCGGAACGCTTGGCTGGATGTCCCGATCCTCAGGCACACAGAGGTGGTCTTTACAAGAGGACAGCAGTGACTTGCACAGCGGCGCTGCCAAGACCGCCTGGAAAGCACAACAACAAGACCTGCATGCGTAAATGCTGGAGCCTGTCCGGTCGCGATCGAGGTGTTTTAGCGGAAACTCTCAGGAAGTCCTTGAAGCGATACAACCTTGGCGACGCTGGGACCGCAGTGGCTGGCCAACGAGCACTAAATGATATGGGCATTGAGACACCTCGATGGCACCTGGGACGTCAAAGGGAGACCGACGAAAAGGGTTATGTTTCCATTGACTCATGCTCCAACTGCGGCTGACAGCCCCCGCCGTTTGCTGCATGTTGTCACGTTTCCAATTATGACTCTTGTGTCCGCGCTCGCATCGGGTTGTGTAGGCGGCCCCATAAACAGCTTTCCGCACTTGACGGTACTATGACTATCGGAAGGACTTTTGTTGAACGCATATTGTGCCTTGACGTGCAGCAGGGCTGTTGCTCGTCGACACCTTTGGGTCGATGCTGCAAGCTTTGTGACGGTAGTGTGGCTTGCCGAATTGACCGAAGCAACACTTTCAAGAAACCATTTATTTTTCCAGTTCTTTTGCCGTCACATTAATGTGCCGAAAGCACAGTCGCCCTACAGCTCCGTACTTTCGTCCAGGAAAGGCACCTTTCCGACTTTGTAGTCACAAGATCGCCCCAAAAAAAACTAGGCGTGGCACCCCAGATCAATGCGGTGAGCACCTGGAGGCCACGAAAATTTGCAATGCCGTCCCACACGTGCAAGTCCTCGCCGCTGTGTCTCATTCTGACTACTGAAACACGTCCGCCAGTGCTTCTTCTTGCATGCACGTCCGCACGCCTCTGTGGTGCCTTGTCCAGCTTTCGTCCCAGTCCCTAGTAGTTGTTGCGTTGCGTTTTGTGTTCTTCGTTGTTGTTGTTGCTGTTGCTTGTCGCAGAGTTACCAGTCGTGACCGCTGGCCAGGAAGTTCGTTGTCCAAAACAGCAGCAGTCGCGAGGATTGCTGCTTAGAGGTGTCAACAACAACACGAGTTGGGAAGATGGTGTTTTTGAAGCCCCCACAGATGTCGACAGCTACGAAGATGGTCATGCGGACGAGCACTATGCCAGTGCCCTGCGGCTGCTGGCAGTTCTGAGATGCCTGGGCTGGCGGGTATCTTTACCCAGAAATGAAGGGAGGCCACAACCCGCATTTCCTGCACGTCACCCGTTGCAGCACCACAACTGGGACAGATATTCTCAGTTGGCCCTGCTCCATCCTAGGCCAATGGGCTGAAGGAGCTCATAGGCCCAGAAAGGACCGAAACATGTGTCGCAGGCATTTCGCTCTTCGATGTGGGGTGAGACAGGGACTGCAGACATTAGGATCAGGGCTCTTTTGGAGTGGCTTCGACTTCGGCCTGCGCAGACTGCCGCGGATAGCCCGGAACTTTGCAGGATGAAGCAGCTCTTCCAGTCTGGAGGCCCTACACTGTACTTCAGGTCGAAGCAACTGCCGCATCCGAGTGGCTTACAAGTTCCTGAAGCCACGCATGGCGTTGCCTTGTGTCCAGGCTCTGCCGGTGCTGCTGCCGAAGGCGGCTTCGAGTCGTTTGAGGAAAGTATCTCTTTGAAAATCACATTTGAAGCCGAAAGCCTTACCTGCAGGCAGCGTACTAGCCGGCACTGTTGTGAATCGCGATGGCAACTCCACAGCTCACATTACGATCCGGACGACAAGAGTTCTTTGCCGTCCTGACTCGTGACGCATGTTGTAGACATGTAATGGAACCTGTGAAAGCAACACGGCGGGTCGTCTCTTGGACTCTTGGGCACTGCCAGAGGCGCCTTCTCTCCATCGGAGGATGCGATGATGCCTCTCTTTGGAAAGCAAACAGAGTCCGAGAAGAAGCCGCTGCCCCCGCTGCAAACCGACTCCAAGGCCTGGGGGTTTAGGGCCTCTGCGTAGTTGAGAACAGCGGGCCAGTTGTCTGTTGTCTGGTGCTCTGTTTGGCGGCAGTGCTGGTTTTCGTGACTCGTAAGTATCCCGGAGGATTCCCTGTTGCTGCCCGCAGACGGAGTTTGGAAGCGGGTATATACTCGTGGCGTCGCCAACCAAAAAAAGCAAGACTGTTTCCGGCCCAGAAAGTTGGCTGAGTTCCTGTCGTACGCCCCGTGAACGACGTTCGAGTCTTTCCAAAGCAGCTCGAGTGCGGGACGGCGTTAGCGCAGCGGTTGGAAGCCGGACGAACATTGCCAACATTGGGAGAGGGGACTTGTCATTCAATGGCGCTGCGCTGTGGCCGAAGCGATCACAAGGAGAAAGGTTATCTACTGGACAGGCTTGCCACCGCGGCTTGTCTTGGCGAGGCACGGGGAGAACACGTCGTCTTCGCTTGTGGAGTCTTGCTCGCAAAGGCTTCCCTTCTCGGATTGAAACATCTGGCGGTGTAACAAAACAGAAGCACCTGTGACCAACTTCAAGCTCACGAGCTGACCAACCCTCCGTGGAGGCCGAAAATTCAGACAAGACCAAGAACGGGACAGGACCGAGTCTTCCAATGCTTCTGCAATTGATGCTCAAGGCTTGATCGTGTCAACGTCTGCCCATATCTGGAAGATAACAGATGCCTTTACCGCCTCTGAGGAGCAGACAACAAAGCGAGCGAGACAGAGAAGGCTGCGGGAACCGGATGCTCGAAACATGCTTTGTGGACCGTGTTCTGCACGAAGCATGGCCAGAGTTTTACTGAAGGAACTCGTGCATTCTGCAGGCTCCTGCAACGGTGGAGGTGTGAGGCCGGGCTGGACCCCCAGCTTCTGATTCTGTTCTCTCACCCAATCCTGCAAGATTGGCCAACTTGGCAAGAAACGACGTTGCGTAACGGCAGTCCAAACACGGCGACGACCTGCCACCAACAAATAACGACCTGCCACCAAAGAATATGCAAGCAAGGCATCTCGGCTCGGCAGCGCCTGACAGCGAGACAGCCGTGCAAGTAGCTGACGGTTCAGTTCCACAGCACTTCAAGATGTAACCACCCGAGTCCGTGAGTAGCATTGTTAGGACGTGCTGACGCAACTGGGCATAGGCACAATGCTAGCATAGCAGTTGAATAACTATGAATTCATTGCCTAAAGTGGAGGCTGGATGCATGATGCGTGAAAAAGAGTTTGAGGTCGCGCTTCGGACCAGAAGCTTTCTGCATGCAGTGACTCTTGCCACAGCCTGCTCTTCAAGTGCTCTCTGCTCTGAAAAGCCAGTGTCACAGCAGCAACACTTCGCGTTTACTCCGGATGAGGCACAATACCTCCAGACGAGACTCCACACGACACACTGCAGTGCACGCCCAGCTCGGGTTCAATGTAACAAAGTGAAGCAGGCTCTAGATCTGCTTGCAGGCACTTGCCTTTCGCCTGGCTCTGCCATGGCGGAGCAAGGAAAGTGCCTCAGGGCCTCAGGGCCAGGGCCAGGGCAGCAGACTGCAGCGGAACTTAGGCGACTTTCGGCAGTCAGCGGAGCGTTCCGTTGCAGGGAATGCAAATCTCGGGCTTGCCGCGCTCAGCGTGGCCTTCCTGTTTGGCATCCTTGGACTGCCAGCAACTCAGAGACGGCTGGACGGAGCGGAGGATTTCTGCCTTCTTGAGCTGTCAAGGTTTGCCTTCTTCGCTCTCCGCGCGAAAACAGCTGCCGAAGAGGCCCGTATTCTCGCATCACCCTCGAGAGCTTCAAGTCTGCTGCTTGCAGGAGGAAAAGCAGGAAAAGCAGCAACTCGGGCCTCACAGCTGTGTCGTGGTAAGATGTCTGGCTGGTTTATCTTATCTCTAAACTCTCTCTCGCCCTGTCCGAGTCAGCTGCATGCAGCCTGCTTAGAGCAAATCGACGGAAACACTCGATGACGAAGTCAAAGCTTCGGCTGAAAACATGCGCCGGTTCAGGCCAGAGGCGATCACTATGGAGGGAACGGAAAGCACCTTGCCTCGGGTTCTTTTTCCTTGCCGAGGCAAGCTGCCGGAGGTCAGAGGCCGCTCTTTCAACAGTTGGACGTTCCCGCAACGTGACCTCTTGGGCCTTCCGTAGCTTCCGATAATCTGGTGTCAAATGAAGAAGCTTCCTGCTAAGAGCTGCGGGAGGCGGCGGGGCGCGCTGGATCGCATGCAGCGCGGTACCTTGCTCAGAAACACACATCCCACGTGCTGCCAATGTATTCAGAAGATCTCCTTGGACCTCTTGTTTCGACTTCTAGGTGCAACTCTAGGGCAATTGCAGAGCACTTTCATTCACGCACTGAATGCCACTGGGGCACATTCCAGGCCTGGAAACTGCCGCACTGCAGGCGATAGCGTCCGCAGCATGCGGTGGGAGAAGTAGTCCTTTCCTGCTATACTTTGCATCCACTGCTGAATGGCAACAGCCTTGGGGCTCAGTGAGTTGACAGGGGATTGAAGAACTGCAGCTCATTCGCAGCTCGCAGCTAGTGCCCGCAGACGAGAAGTCGGTTAAACACGGGGAACACGGGCTAAGCTTGTGAGCCCGCCGCACCTCGCGAGAAACCAATTGGACTCGGAGACACGAAGCTGAGATGTGCTTTTGGCACGTCATCCACGTACGGAGCGACCCTGGGCCGAGGCGCGGCACGTGCTGCCGGCAGTGGGGAAGCCGACGAAGCAGAGGGCTTGGAAGATGTTTGGTCGTCGATTGTGACGACAGTGAAATCTGAGGATGAGCCGGAGGATCAGGCCGGCAACAAGAAAGCGAATGCCGCCAAAGAGCAAAAGAAGCAGGTACCCCGAGAGCGACGGCTCCACATGAATGCAAGCGTTCACTTCCAACCTGCTGTAGAATCCGAGACGACTGTTTGCTGCAGCGCAGGAGAAAAGAGCACAGCAGCAAGCAGAAAGAGAGGCCGCGACGATCGGGTGGTTTTGCATGTTTCGCATGCATGCAGGTAGTTCGTCCGGCTTTGACTTCGGATTGCTGATTTCGTCAGGCCTATCAGCAGAAGCAGGACAAGAAAGCACAGTGCTCTGGGCGACTCGAGTTTTTCTACAGGGGACGATGCCAGCAGCTCCAGGTATGCACAGAAGCAGCAGGCCCGCGATGCGGAGCGGATGCGGCGCGATGCGGAGGACGAGCAGGATCGGACGTAGGATGAGCCTTTCTTAAAGTCTGCCTGGTTTTGGTCATGTGCAGGCCAGGAAAGAAAAGGAGAAACAGGAGAAGGAAGAACTCGACAAGCAAGCCTCCAAGTGCTGCTGATGCCACAAATATGGCAAAAAAGTAGCGTCACCATGCAGCACAAGAAAGTTCCACGCCTCCAGCACACATCTATAGATGAGGTACATATTACATAGATACAGATGTGTGCATATATATATATATATATATATATGTATACATACATACACACTCAGTCATATACATACCTGCATGCATACATATGCGCGTACGTATGAATGTATGCATGTATATAGTATGCATATGTAGATATGGTAACCCCCCCCCCCCCCGGGTACCAAGTACCAAGGGTGTCCTATTCAAGTCAGCCGCCGTGTCCCTGATACTTGTTCCTGTTCCTTGGTCGTTGCGTCTTTGGGAAAGCAAGTTTTTGTTTACTGTACTCCTGGCTCCTGGACCTTCCAAGTAGGGTTCACCGCGTTTTTGTTGCTCCCGAAGTTTCTCCAAATTCATGGAAATTGTTGGAAATATTGGAAAAGCCTACCTTTTCCATGATTTGTTTGCTGTTAATCATGGAAGTTGTTGGTGTTACCCGCATTCACAACTCTTTCCATGACCGAAACTTTGTTCCAGCTCCCGAGGTTTCTCCAAAATTCATTGCAACATTTCCCATGATTTGTTTGTGGGGAATCATGAACAATGATGGTTTTGCCAACATTGCCAACAATTTTCGTGATTGCCGAATCCATGGCTCCGGGTTTCTCCAAATTCATGGACATGGCAGAGACTGTCGGTTTCGCCAACATTGTTCACAGGTAAATAGAAATTTCAGGCGGTGTTACCAAAGTTTTCTGTTGAGCAGGTCATATGTACTCATGTGATGTGTTTTGCGAACAGGGCCGGTAAGGCATTCGCATCCTTGATTAAACTCACTAGTCTGTACAGCACAAAACTAGCCAATAATCTGTGATCGAAGACGTTCTCGTCCGAACGCCGGTTCAGTGGTGTTTCCCGTGAAGCACGTACAGAGATATACTTCCTGTTCACGATTCAATAATTTACTGTAGGAAAGCTAGTCCTTTACGAACATGCTTATGCTGGTTCGATCACATGCGCTTCACGGGATAAATGTGTAAAGTAGTTACTTATGTTTCTTGGTGTGTGCATGGAGGCTTTTGTCGTTCTGTTCATGTGTGTTTCTTGGTATGGCTTTCCGGTACTTGCAAACCAGCTATCATTCGCACCGATTTCTGACATACATATTGTCAATTGGTCATCATTTAGTAGGTGCAAAATTTCGAGAACGATTTTGCAAAGACAACAAATCCTAGTCCGACCAATAAAATCAACATGACTTGTAAGATGAACACAGTCTTGATTAACTTAGCACAGACTAAACATGTCGAACTCAACTGGCCTGAAAAAGAACAACTAGCAACCTCGACTAATAAACAACTCTTGACGGGGTCGAGATCTTGGGGCCACCACTTGAGGGCATGTGCCACATACAACCCAGACTGTAATTCGCAGCCACTGCATCTCGGATTATGTTTGACGTGGAACACTTTCATCTCAGCACGTCAGAACAAGCAGTTGTGTCACTTGATTAACCATCATTCTACCAAGAGGTTTTACAAGCACAGGTATGAATATCCAAGTAACGCTGACTGGTAGGCTTATACCCATCAAAATGTATAGACACAGGACTCTCAGCAAGCATTATGATATGTACTTTATAATGCTTGGTCATTATTAAGCAAGGCTGCTGAACAACATAATTACAACTTGTAATTGACGCAGCACAACTTGAAACAGAAATGATAAGGAATCAGGATGCACATCGTGTCAATTGGCGAAGTGCTGATGACGTATACTGACCACATTAACAGGAACAATAACAGATGTGGTGATAACAACGCTGCTAGACGTAATGCTGAAGCCACACGTGACGTTTTGAATTCGACATAGAAGAACAAACTATGTAGCAGTTTAACCATGACAAACATAACTGAGCAAAGAAACGGAGATCGGATTCCTGGGGCCATGTGACGCAACCTACACACATCATAGTGAGTTACAATTTGCGATAAGTGCTGCTATTGACCGCTAGTTTGAATCATTGTGCAATTGTGCGAAGGCTAAACATGTTGACGGGTAAACTGACACTATCTGGAATGTACGGCTTATTCCGCGTATGGCTGCATGAAGCAATGACCACAGTGATTGATATAACAGATTGCAAAACCCACCAACAACAGTGAAATTGCTGTGTATAATCAAGTGGAAGTTCAATGAACGTGTGTTTGTGTGTGTAACAACGATAACGGCAGCCAACAGCCAACTAAATATAGCCACTATCCACCTTGATATGAAATCTGTCCATGCATGTATTAATGTAATGTCATGTTCTGTCTGTATGTCATACGCCCTCTCCGGCATCCAGATTTTCGTCTTTGTACTGATGATTTGCTTAAGCAGGCCGAGGGATGCGGCATTTCGCAAACATGAGTCAATATGAGTCAATCATGAGTAAAGAATGCTGTCTTAAAAATCTGTGCCGAAAGCACTTGAGCATCATGAGCAAGCACGGCAAGGCTGCGAGTGCATGCTCACGTTGAAAGAAAGGGCTTGCATAGGAAAAAGCGTTTAATCAACGATGCCGGTGATCGCGAGGAGTCGACACACAGTAGTGAGCGAGTGTGACAAAACTGTGGGGGGTATGCATTACATACATACGTACATACATACATACATATTGACATACATACACACATGCACACATACACACATACGTACACATACATAGAAGTACACACACACACACGCTGCGCACGCCTGGTATAACATGACCAGCTCCAACACAGTTAGTGGCTGAGGTGGAAGGAGATGTTTGCCGTGGAGTATGAGGGCGAGGACAGCACAAGATGCAGAAAACATGTACCGGTAGCAGGGTTTGCAGGCGTGTGTCGTTGAAGGTATGTGGTGCACACATAGATTCAACACAGCCTGCCAGGATGATGCTGCCACAGCTGGAGAGTCAGCCACGGGCTCACGCTAAGTTCAGACGGCAACTTAACCTAACCTTGCATGACCCGCGAGTGGTCCGGACATGTCCAGACTCCTACAGCACATACGCGGAGGGGAGATTTGGTTGTTTGGAGCTTCCATGTCGGCCAAGATTTCCCCATACTGCTTCACTAGTGAAAAACTTTGTAGGTCGTTGGTGTGCTGGGGTGCGCACTCCAAGTCTTGCCGATCACGTAGGGCGTTCGCCACTTTCGGGTTTGGGCCCGTATGGGCCCGTCTAGCAAGGAGTCCGCTTCTCCGTAAGCCGTAGATATTCGGTCGCTTGCCTGACGTGAGTGCGCTGTCCACTCTAATACAGTTCGTGTCCCAGACACAGGCTATTTGGCATGCTTTAAGTGGGGAGTCACGGGGGAGGTTGAAACTCCTGGGTAAGGTGCGGGCCGTGTCCAAGAATGGGCTTGCTGGGAAGCAGAAAGCGGCAAGTGCACCTGAAAGGTTCGTGGCTCTGGATCAAATCACACTGGCAAAGGACGTTGACACCTTTGTACGTCGTGTCAGGTGCCTGCATGTGTTTTGCCCGCTGCAACACTTGCAACTTTGAACTCACACCCAGTACATTAGCTATGAACGGCTCGGGTTGTGCGAAGTAGCACGGCACTGCGCCGAATTTTGCAAAAGGCCGGCCGTGCAAGAAAATCACTCGGCATGCAAGTAGTTCAAGCTCTCCATGCACAGCGTGATGGCCCTGTACCCAAGAATCTAGGGAATTCGTACTGGCAGAGACTGCGTGCTAAGGCGTTGGAGCAGTGCCCTTGCTGCAATAGGTCTCGACTTGGCTTCAGCCCCTGAATTCACGTGGAGCCGTCGTTGATCATGAATTTTCAACACGGCAGTGGAAGTTGTGAAGATAATAGCAGCTGGTGCCTGCCAATCAACAGGTTCATTGACTACGTCAAGCTTCGAAAAGTGGTAAATCTTGAGGCCTCGGCATCCCTCCACGTCAGCGCATTGCTTCGCCAAAATCAAAGAGCTTCGGCATCCTCGGGTGTTGCACAGTCGCGTACAGGACCTGGCTGCCGAATTCCGCATGAGAACTTGTACCGCCATCAACCGGCGACTTGGCCAAACTGGTTGCAGCCACATCGCATTCGCAGAGGCTATTTGCATGTATTCGCGTCTGGATCACAGCCCAGGCTCGAAGAGCTTGAAAAGATGGGTGCGATCCTCGAGAAAAGCATGTAGGAATCCAGACCCTCGACAAAGCCAGAGGCAGAGTGGAGAAAAGGGCATGAGAGACAGACTCTGCTCCTAAGACATTCCAAACGTGAGGAGTTTGGCAAGGCTCCGTGTCTGCGTGGATGAATGACAGAACCTAGGTCGACTCAGTGGAATTTTCGACGACCGTGGCAAGTACATCTACATCACAGCCGAGGCGGGATTGACACTGTGGGGCCTCATGCTTAAATGCACTGTCCGGCGAACAGCCCAGTACCAGCGTTTTAACCGTGTCGTGCTCTTGATTGTAGACCTCCATGAGTTTCGAGCGTCAAATGGTGCTTGAAATCGTCCTGCGCAGGAAATGGGTGAAGTTGCCGCCTGGCTCAAGCGCAAGGGCCGCGTCAACCGCGCAGTGCCTGGGCCACATGTTGTGTGTTTCCTTCCTTCCGTTTTCACACAGGGCGTCGAATGGCCAGGAGTTAGTTGCCGGCTGCAACAAGCTTATCCGACTTGATCCCACAGCAGAGGACAAGGTGGGTCGACGAATAACTCAGAAGTCTTAGAAGACTCGATCTGTCCGGAGGCGAAGCTCGAAGCAGAGGTGAGGACGGCAGAAGAGAAGCTGGAAGGCCTGAGGGTTCGGCCGGGGTCGGAATCGTAGCGGACAGCACTGAATATCAGATATCATGTTTTTAATAAGTTGTCCGTAAGCTTCTGCACATGATTCCCATCATGCAGCAATTCGCGAAGATGTCTGAGCTGCTCGTCCCTCACATTTGGAATCGACTGAAAAATCACACTCGACACTTGGGCATGTCCCTTGTCAGGCGCGGAGGAGGTGGCTCAGTGACGTGAAAAAATAAGTGCGCCGAGCACGATTCTTGAACAGCTCGGGTTTCAAAGGCGAAAGGTGAGGGTTCCCCGATAATGTGCCAAAGGAACCAGTACCAGATTCAGATGCGCCGTGCTCGTTGCCGTAGCCTGTTCCCTGCCTCGTAGAGCAATGCTGGACTGTGTTGCAAGCATGCCTACATGCTGCACCGCTCCGCTGCCATCCGCATCCATCCGCAATGGCTCAGAGTTCGGGGGAGCAACCAGCTGCCAGCCGCCCGCGATTAACTCCGGCTCTTGCCTAAGACCTAAGACGTCCTATCAAGTCGTATCAGGTCGTTCCCTCAGCTACACCGTGACTGTCTCCCAGGCCTCAAGCATGATGTACAGGCCTTCAGCTGAGACCGTCAAGCCTCCGTCACGGCAGAGTGCCGGACGGAGCTTGAAAACATCTTGATGGGTAGCCCTGCCCAGCTGCTTGCGTAGCAAAGTCATGATGCGCAGGTCCCAGCCAGCCGCCATGAACGCCGGTTTGCGACGACGTCGCACTTCGTGGCAAGGGGCTCGGAGTGGGAGGTGGACATTTCGGTCTTGGTATGAGACTGAGCCATTGCTAGTGTGCGTGCGCCGAGGTTGGCCGCAGTGGTTGCAGCCGTGCTGCTAAGCAGTTGGCAAGGTTGCGGGAAGGGGCGAAAGATCTGGTAACGATAAGAAGTCCAGCCGGAGAACGTAGTCTGCAGACTTCGATCCAGTCCGGCCTCTGTCGATTTGATGAGAATTTCAAGCAGTCTGTTTGTCGGTCCACGAAGGTTTCTCTTTCCTGGGATCAATGCCCACGGGACAGCAGGCACGAGCAGGGCGCGAGCAGCACGGGAGTCACTTCTTCTCACGCCAGGCGCACAAGACGGCTCGGCAAGCCTCTGTGGTTGACAGCCTCAAGAACCCGGCCTGGGCCTGTTCGTGTGCCTCCGGGCTGGATGCTGCTGGTTCTCACTTTACGTGCCTGGAAGGTCAAGACAGTGTCCGAGACCATTGACGAGTTCTACAAGGTGGCTTGTTGCCCCGTGGGGAGAACTTTGCCTAAGGACTAGGACCTATGAGGCAACGAGATATCACGGTGCTTTGCTGGAGCCTTTCCCTGGTTACAGGGCTACCCCAAGCCGCCGGTGCTCCCGATGAGCCCTGGCTGTATCAGCGTGTTGAAGCGGGAATGCGCAGAAGCACAGAAGTCCTGGCTGACTTTGACCTGTTAAGGTATAGGAGCTTCCTGGTTGATTTCATCACTCAAGTGGCCCCGCCCTCAGTATGGAATAAGACACACAAAAACGTGTTTATATATGTACACAGATACATACATACATACATATGCATACATACGCACACTGACTGTCCGCCGGCTTGCAAGCAATGAAAAACCTTAGAGTGCCTTATTCTGAATGTTCTTGTTCCTGAGACCTTATCAATTCTCGCTGATCTATTCTGTCAGCACCTGACCATGGTGGACTCCCGATTCAAGTACGACGCAATCTTCGGACTTGGGATGAGGCCTTGTCGTGCTTTTTCAGCTTCCTGCCGTGTCTGCGTTCAAGCGGCTGGCACCCTGGCGTGCTGCGAGCTTGGAGGCACTTCTACACCGGGCTCATGGGCAACTACGACAAGCTTGTCATGAGTCCGAGCCTTCCGGTAAGCGAGTCCGGTCGGCAGGCGCGGCGGCTCAGCCCAGGTGAAGAGTCCGAGAAGATTTGGAAGGCCTTGAATAGCGCCATGGGAATGAAGCCGGACCAGGTGGCCCGTGGCAGAATAGAGGCAGAGACTTCGCTGCGAAATCGCGCAACCCCACGAGAGGTCACTGCCGACGCAGAAGCTGTTGCCAAGTACGCCAGTCTGAGCCGCAACAGTGTGTTCCCTCATGTCATGAAAAGTTCTTCAACCTAAGTTTCGTTCTTAGGCTCGACTTCGCCAGCTGAAATCCTGAAGCACATGGAGGCTGTCCAGAGCACTGCTGAGTTCAGCCCCAGTCTGTCAAGTGTCAGTCGGGCCAACCTTTGCAAAGCCCTATTCCGAGATGCCCGGTGGCCAGAGCAATTGCAGTCTGTGCTAGGGCACGGCCAAGCCTTCCGATGCCAAGATCGGCACCGCTTTCGAGCAGATCCAGCCAGCGCCCTGTGGCTTGCGGCGCTTGAGAAAGAACAAGCGACAAGAGACAAAGATAGCACTGTGTGCTTCGCACAGAGGTCTTCGCTCTACAGCGCAACTTACAGCATTGGCTTGTTCCGCATCATGGAGCTGAGCTGCAGCCTTCGACCGTGGCCTGTCTTTGGGGTGGCGCTTCTGTGTAGAAATGGCTCCAAGGTGGTGTGGAGGTCAACAAGGCCAATGCTGAGGAGTGGGCAAAGGCCCTGAAGATTGAGCCTGCGTCGTGGGCATAGCACTTGGTCTTCGTTTTGCTGCTACACATCGGCGAGATGCCAAGCCGATCACATCCAAAAACTCAAGGTCCAAGGTCACTTCTGACCTTGAAACATACAAGTCATGCCGGCCAGATTGCAGAAGCAAGCGGCGCGCAAGCCCGAAGAGCCCAAAAGATATCCGCCCTCAGCTTGAAAGTGGTCCCGTGCTCTTGGCCTCAAAGCTACGGCCAGGCAGAATCAGGTGAAACTCCAGAAGGCCGAGGAGATGATCCGAGAGGCCCGGTCCACATGACTATACACGATTTTACCGGCCTCTGCTAATAGCTCATTCGTGCTACGCGCCGAGATTGAGATCCGGGAGAAGAAGAAGCTGGCCGAGAAGTGCTGGCTTTAGCGCTTGTTCGTTCTGAAGAGCCCCCTGGGATTGTTTTGTTCGAAAGCGGTGTCGCACGCGTATGATTTGTTTGTGTAGACTCAGGCGTTGAGCGGATTTTCTGCTGTGGTAATTTGCAGGAAGTCGTTGCCGAGGCTGGAGCAGAAGGCCAAAGCACTGGCAGAGAAGGCGGCGGCGAAGACTTCGGGTGGCGAGGACATCATCACGCAAACAGATTCTCGATGAAGACTCCAGGCTGCTCAGTAACTTCAGCTGCTAAGCTGTTGACGGGCCTAAAATTCGATAGTAGGAACTGTCCCAAGCTCGCGAGGGGCTAATTCCTGTGTGTCACGAAGAGTCCTGAGGAGTTGTGTAAGACAGAGTTTTGTTTCGGTGAGTACAGCTCGGGCACCACTAAGCAAAGCTACAGAATTTTGCTTGATCCTGCCAGTAGCCACGAGCCAAAGACCCAGACAGTTTTTCTGCGTTCATCATCCACCCTCTTTTGTAGCCACCTCTCACGTTGTAGATGGCCGTCGTTGTGCAGGAGTCCACGTGAGGCCGCTCTGGAACAGAACACCAGCTAGTGACGAGTTGTGGGGTGGATGCGCTATACTTGCCGTAGCCTGTAGCTTTCAACGGGTGTGGGGACGGGTGTAGCTTTGTCTAGGGGGATTAGAAGTTGCAGTACAGCGGAGCACAGCAGGGAAAGGGAGACTGAGCGAATCACACCCTAGCTTTTGCCACAGCTGTTGCAGCTTGGTGTCCGCGTTTGTGTTGGGTACGCCATGTAGTGTAGCGAGACGACGCCGGGGTCGAGCTTCAACGAAAGTTGATGTGCGAATCTACAACGGCTGTGGCAATCAGAAAATCGGAATTCTGGATTAAATGATAAAGACCCATTTTCGCACGGCACATGCCTGCTTTCTTGAAACGCAGGGGTTGTGATTCTTCCATGCGGGCCAGTAGTCTTTCAAACGTGGCCCGGAAGATGACACCTGCGTCTTTTTCACGGAGTCGGTAGTCCTTTGTTCAGGCTTTGAGGCCAGGCGAAACTTGTCGCCTGGGGCGGCTTTGGACAACGAGTAGTAGTACGGTAGTACGGAGTTGAGAAAAAATGGCGCCTTACGCAATTCAATCATCACACAGTTTTCTTAAGCAGTCCAGCACCTTGTGTCATTGCTGCCCGCTTGTTCGGGGTGCGGTCAACTTGACCCAGACTGTGAGGCAAACGATGCCCCGGTAGCACAGACGCCTGCAAACTCGCTGCATGGACTCGAAAACTTGTGTACTTGTCAGCGCGTGACGGGCGATGTTCTTTGAGAGGAGTCCAAGAGTATGAGTGATGCGTAGTCGCGGGTGTGGGCGAGGCAGTCGATTTTCGAACCCGTGGCTTCTGAGCTCATCAGCTCGGTTTAGGCTCAGAGCGCTTCCGCTTAGAGAGAAACAGCTGCTGGAGCCAGCACAGCAAGGCAAGTCCGCAGGCGGGGTGGCCGCCGGAAATTAGTTTGAGCTCGGGTCAGCTTGCAAGCGTCCTTGCTATACCCTGCGATCAGGAGTTTGCGGCAGATGGCTGCGATGGCCACCACAGCAGTGGCTGGCCACCTCTTCAGCATTTCTGGGACAGAAGCCGATTAGGTTCTATCATGCCTTAGCCCAAGGTGGGAGCGTTCGCCACTCAGATTTCCCACGAGCCAATCACCGGCGATCCATCATGAATCTGGAGCGTCATCGGTAAAGCTGGTCGTTCCTTCCACCAAGGACGCAGCAGAAGGATACACCGTGATCTCTCAAGAGGAGTCTGGGAGCCATAGCAGTCCCGAAGAGGGTGTCCAAGTTGCCAAGACATGAGATTGCAAGTATCCTGCACGAGCACCGACTTTAAAAGTCAATTTGACAGAATAGTGCTGTAACGTACAGTGCGTAGCTCTTTGATGCTAATGCCAGAAGCGAATTCAGGAGTACGCGCAGCTTATGGCTGGCACAGCTCCCGCACGGCCCCCAGCCCAACCGCAAGCACCTCACAGTGTGCAAAGATGCGAGCGGAGGACTGAAAGTGCGTGTTTGCACAGGCTGCGACAACTGGAATGGTGACAACATCGGTCCCGATCACAGCCTATCCCTACACCAGCACAAACGCCTACACGAGCCTCGGCCTCACAGAATCCAAACGTCCACGTCCGGGACTTTCTTGTGAGTGGTAAGAAATGTTTGGGGCATCTCAGGACGGTCACAACCAGCTATCCGAATTATCCAATCACGAGCAGTCCGGCTGTCCAATACGCAGCCTCTCCTCTTCCAGCATCCTACACGGCTCAGACCTGAGACATGACATGGCTGCAAGTCATCAGACACAAGTCACGAGCCAATCTCTCTGGGATGTCAAGAGTACTGCGAGTGCTGTTAATGCCAGGTCCCTCCAGGTCCAGGTGAGCAATCGCTCCTAGAACTCTTCCGTCGCTACCTGCGTCTCTATAGGTTCCGAACCGAACAACAGGAAAGTTAGAGAAGTGCTGTGGATGGAGCATACCCCATGTTGCAATGTCGAGGGTCCCAGTTTGGACATTCTCGGCATTTCGCACGGGGAGGCGCCCAGGACCGCATCCCGACTCTGGGCAGGGCCTGAGTGCGATGGGCCCATGGCCTGCGGGTCGCCAGACGACCGCTACACCCGGCAGAAAGAACGAAGGACAGAAAAAGAAGAGAGAGAGAGAGAGAGACGAAGCAACACCTCAACCTCTCTTACCCTTGTGAAAGGAAAAGGACACGAAATAACCGAAGGCACATGTAGACATTAGTACAGGTTTCCTCGTTCCAGAAATGCCTGATGTCATGTGCCGAGTCAAGTGTGGAGCACGAGACTCAATGAAGCAGGGAACAAACATCCCACGGAGTCATGCCTTTCAATCCGTTGTTGCGCTCTCTTGTTTTTCTGTAGTACAGTATCGCGGGATGCAATATGTAGTAACATGTAGTGACACTATGTCGGCACCTTGCAGAGCTCTTCTTCTGTGCACACTGTAATAGTTTATATTATGGCTAATCCCACCTCGACTTTGAGCTCTCCGGGGAACGAACAATTCGTGCATTCCTGGATTGTTGCACATGTTGAAACGTATGTCTTCTCCAAGCATGCAAGCAAGCAAGCAAGCAAGAGACAGAGCCAGAGAGACCTACCGCCCCCCATGCCCGAGAGTACTAGTAGCAGTAAGTAGCAGTAGCAGCAGGAGCAGGAGCAGGAGTAGTAGTCGTCGTCGTAGTACTAGCTTGTCGCCGTAGCAGTCGTAGTGGTGGTACACGTAGCGGCCTGGCTAGTGGGGGTGGTAGGAGAAATAGCGGCAGCGGCAGTAGCAGTAGTCGTCGTCTTAGTAGTACAGCGGGAGCGCTGTTTAAGAAAATACTTTCTGGGACGAGGGTGGCCTGGTTTTCTTATTTTGATAGCGGCTGGTTTTATGGGAATATTTAATCTGGGATGGGTCAGGGTAGTCTGGTTTTCTTAAGGCCGTTTTCTTATATAGCTGTGTCCAGGGCCCAGTCCAGAACCCACCTAAATAATAAAACGAGACTCTGGCATTTTCTTATTCTCCTTCGTTCCAGAACCCACCTAAATAAGAAAACGAAACTCTGGTATTTCTATTCTCCTTCGTTCCAGAACCCACCTAAATAAGAAAACGAGACTCTGGTATTTTCTTATTCTCCTTCGTTCCAGAACCCACCTAAATAAGAAAACGAGACTCTGGTATTTTCTTATTCTCCTTCGTTCCAGAACCCACCTAAATAAGAAAACGAGACTCTGGTATTTTCTTATTCTCCTTCGTTCCAGAACCCACCTAAATAAGAAAACGAGACTCTGGTATTTTCTTATTCTCCTTCGTTCCAGAACCCACCTAAATAAGAAAACGAGACTCTGGTATTTTCTTATTCTCCTTCGTTCCAGAACCCACCTAAATAAGAAAACGAGACTCTGGTATTTTCTTATTCTCCTTCGTTCCAGAACCCACCTAAATAAGAAAACGAGACTCTGGTATTTTCTTATTCTCCTTCGTTCCAGAACCCACCTAAATAAGAAAACGAGACTCTGGCATTTTCTTATTCTCCTTCGTTCCAGAACCCACCTAAATAAGAAAACGAGACTCTGGCATTTTCTTATTCTCCTTCGTTCCAGAACCCACCTAAATAAGAAAACTGAGACTCCTGTTCCATTCTCTTCGTTCCAGAACCCAAATAAGAAAACGAGACTCTGGCATTTTCTTATTCTCCTTCGTTCCAGAACCCACCTAAATAAGAAAACGAGACTCTGGCATTTTCTTATTCTCCTTCGTTCCAGAACCCACCTAAATAAGAAAACGAGACTCTGGCATTTTCTTATTCTCCTTCGTTCCAGAACCCACCTAAATAAGAAAACGAGACTCTGGCATTTTCTTATTCTCCTTCGTTCCAGAACCCACCTAAATAAGAAAACGAGACTCTGGCATTTTCTTATTCTCCTTCGTTCCAGAACCCACCTAAATAAGAAAACGAGACTCTGGCATTTTCTTATTCTCCTTCGTTCCAGAACCCACCTAAATAAGAAAACGAGACTCTGGCATTTTCTTATTCTCCTTCGTTCCAGAACCCACCTAAATAAGAAAACGAGACTCTGGTATGTTCTTATTCTCTTTCGTTCCAGAACCCACCTAAATAAGAAAACGAGACTCTGGTATTTTCTTATTCTCTTTCGTTCCAGAACCCACCTAAATAAGAAAACGAGACTCTGGTATTTTCTTATTCTCTTTCGTTCCAGAACCCACCTAAATAAGAAAACGAGACTCTGGCATTTTCTTATTCTCCTTCGTTCCAGAACCCAGCTAAAGACCACGATGCCTACGATCCCTGAAAGCCGTGCTTGGAAGCCTTGGAGGGGAAACTTCAGCAGGGTCAAGGCACGAAGTGCCTAGGACACCCCAAGTACTTGGGCTAGGATTTTAGGCAAGAGCCCCTGATGTATGGAACCCCTCGTACAGCACAGGCCAAGTTTACGC